GACTACTACTACCACTACCACTACCACTACCACTACCACTACCACTACCACTACCACTACGACTACGACTACTACTACTACTACTACTACTACTACTACCACTACCACTACCACTACCACTACCACTACCACTACCACTACTACTACTAACTACTACTACTACTACTACTACTACTACTACTACTACTACTACTACTACTACTACTACTACTACTACCACTACTTCTTCTACTTCTACTTCTACTTCTACTACTACTACTTCTACTACTACTGCTACTACTGCTACTACTACTACTACTACTACTACTACTACTACTACTACTACTACTACTACTACTACTACTACTACTACTACTACTACTACTTACTACTACTACTACTACTACTACTACTACTACTACTACTACTACTACTACTACTACTACTACTACTACTACTACTACTACTACTACTACTACTTTCTTCCTACTGCTACTACTTTTCCTAGTGCTACTACTTTTCCTACTGCTACTGCTACTGCTACTACCACTACCACTACCACTACGACTCACCACCAAACTTCGCCCTCCATTGTTCATAGGGCTGGGCCGGGTGAACTTGAGCCGTAGCCGGGGTTGAGTCAAGCCTTACTAGCATGACAACTTTACTACCAGTACTACTCACCATATCTACTATGATGACAATTGCTTGCAATAGTTGCTGTACTTAGTCGTGGTTCGGCCACGGGTGCTCTGGCAGGTAGCTGCCCTACTAGCAGGGACGTAGTCATAGTTTGCAAGACGCTCTTTGCTCCACTGCACTGGTGTGATCATCCCTCTCAGGACCTGGCGAGACTCGCGGAGAAGGCCATGTTTGCTCAATTCCAACATTTGGGCTACAGGAATTTGGCGTTGTCGGGGTTTTTGGGCTTCAGGGTTTGCACCTGCAATCTGCGGCCACGCCCCTGTTCCTGCTAAACGATTGGAGGTACCCCAGTAAGATCTCCATTTGCGGAGCGAATCAAAAACCAAGGCTGGCTGGCTAGTCAAATCCCAGGCCTTCAAACCTCAGCTGAACCTCAAAGCCCGAAAACTTTACCCCTGCCCTGTAACCCCCAACGCAGAAAACCTGCAACGCCCGCCCAAACCCTAAACCTGGACCAGCAGGTCCCACACGCGAGCACTGGGGAGGCGCCAAGTGGCTGGGAGTGGGGGGGGGGGGGGACACCACATGTAAGAAGCCTTCAGGGGATCTGTGTAAGGTCTACTAAGTCTGCTAAATAACCCGGATCCTGATTCACTGGCGATCCTGAGCACGAAGTCACAAACATGGGGAACTTGACTTAACCCCTGAAGGCCTAACCCCTCCCTCCCCGCCCCCAAGCCTAAAGCCCTGAACCGACACGTCAACTGCTGGTAGAAGCCCGACAGAAAGCCAACTTTACCTCGAAGCCCTAAAAAGCCCCCTGAGCCCCTGAGTGTGGGTCTTGCGATGTCTGACGCGTCTGGAACTGATTCGGCGGCCGCCTCTCGGACTGGCGCCCAAAACAGGGACCTATCCAGTATTAACCATAGGCAGACTCTTAAGCCCCGGAAAGAATTCAGACGCTGAAGCCTGTAAATGTGAGATGCGCCCGAACAGAGGACGATGCTCAAACAGGTGCACGGGTGCACTTTTCCATGGAAGTGCACTCAGCGATGTCCCGCGTCTTGCGCAGCGCTCCCGCAGACCTGGCAATCGGTCAGGGCACTGAACGGATGAATTCGGAAGGGCACAAGCACTCATCCACACCTGCATGTAGGCTGCATGGCCAAGAAGGACACCAGAAAGACTGGTATGGGTTCGTGACTTTGATACATTGCTTGCTGCATACGATTTGGCATCTTGCCGGTGTGGAGGAGCTCAAGGGCCGGGTCTAGGAGCACCAGCAGCACCCAATGAATGGGCAGCCTGCTGCAACTTCTGGTCTTGAATAAGCCTGACAAAATTGGCGGGAATTGCCTACTCTGAGTTATGCTCGTATAAGGTACTAGCCCGCGGCAAAGCCACAAGCAAGCCTCAAGAGGCAAGCGGACGCGGGTGCATGACGTCGACAAAGTTCTTTCACTTGGAAACTGCTCAGGGCTGCCTGATACGGTGCGCATAGGCCATCAGCCACAAGCCTTATACCTCTACTAGTGATTTACTTGTCCGTCTACCGCCTTCTGCAGATTGCGATCCAGTGAGGGGGGTTGTAACACCGTTTGTACCACCCCAAGCCCCCAACCCTCTCCAGGAGCCTCCAGCGAGCTTGGCACTCTTCTGGGGTCCGCCCCACTCGAGCGGCGAGCAGCCTGAGCTCACTTGGATGCTGGTGTTTTCTATCGATGTCAAGTACTCGCCGCTTGCCACAGAGGCAAAAAACCCCAACAGCGTAAGCTCCAAAGCAAACCCACGCCTACGCCCAAAACCTTCAGATGAAACCCGAACAACTCTACACCCTTCACCCAAAGCCTCCCCCGTCGAAGACCTCTGTGGAAGCTAGGGAGCTCCCAGTCGCAGTTTTCGCGGCCCACGTCTGCATAAGCCTGCCACATCATGCCACATCAACGTCTTCACACGGCGGCTGTTCCTTTGGGGGGACATGGGGGGACCGACTTCCGCGCCGAGTTTTGCACGCGGCTTGGCCATTCGCACTGAGGCCAGCTGAGTCTTGCTCTTAATTTAACTTTGCTTTCGCCACCCGCATACTGGGAGCAGACTAGCCACACCGCAAGAGAACTATCTGGAACGACAAGCGGCCATGGTGGCATTCGTCGCTGCCCCCACACACACACAAGAACAAGAAGACCCGCGACCCCAGCTTGAGCTTGGGGATTCCCCCAACACCCGGAACCATGAAAACTCCGACTCCCGCGGCCTATTGTGCCATAACCCCGTTTGCAACAGAGTCTCGCTGTTGCCAAGCTACGTGCAACACTCTACCTAACAGAAGCAAGCACCAAACCCTAAACCCGAAATGTAAACTGAAACTGAGCACCTCCGCCAGGCGCTGCTCCTCCTCGGGTGACCAGACCGACTCGGATCTGGTCTTGGCCTGTGTTGCTTTTTGGAATCCCTAAATCCTAAACCGCCTAAACCCTAAGCCCTAAATTGAGGATATTTTGGGGGGGTGGGGGGTGTTTGGTTGGTTTCCTTGTTTCGGTGGGCATTCACAGATCAGAGCCTCCTTCGGGTGCCCTGGCCGCAGGGTTTTGTTCTTTGTTTCCCGATATCGCAAAAGGCGAGGCCTGCTACAAAATTACCATGGGCTTGTGAGTCGCACTCATTTTACCCAGGAAGGAAGCGCAATCTAGAGATCTGCCGGGCTTTTTGGGTACATGCGCCATAAACCCTACATCCTGATGTTTGGGTCGCGCTTCGATTCTGTTGACAAGTTTCAAAGGAAACAATGCAGACCGCTGAACCCTCCTAAGCACTTGCACAAACCACCGTACCCTGGGAATAACACTGTGGTTACTGTTTCAGATACCTTTGTTGGCTTACTAAGCCGTAACCTGCGTGGGTCCAGAAGCATGATAGGCCCGGCCATCCGAGTGCACCGAGTTGCCCAAGGTCAGCCCCGCCATGCCCGCGGAAGGTGGCAGTTCTAAACTGAGGTCCCATTCTCTAAGTACCTTTTTGAATAGAACCTGAATAGAACCTCCGTTGCTGCTGCCCGAGGCTTCCTGATCTCCCTTAACCCTATACCCTATACGGTTTAGGGTTTAGGTGGGGGTGGGGGGTGGGGGGTGGGGGGGTGGGGGGGGGTGGGGGGTGGGGGGGTTGGGGGGTGGGGGGTGGGGGGTGGGGGGGGTGGGGGGTGGGGGGGGTGGGGGTGGGGGGTGGGGGGTGGGGGGTGGGGGGTGGGGCGCGGGGGGTGGGGGGTGGGGGGTGGGGGGTGGGGGGCGGGGTGATGCGGCTACAAGGCAAGCCTTACAAAGCACTACGTTAGGTGTGGCGTTAGCAGAAAACCGGAAGGGTTTGGAAGTTTTTTCGAAGGTTCTTTAGACCCCTGCCAAGTTTGAAGCGAGAGCGCGCCTGCAGGCCCTTGAAAAACCCTAGCAGACCTTGAGACACCAGATCAGGGAATGTGCCGATCTACCCAAAAGGTTTGGGGTATCTCGTCCCTGCGTATGAGACTGAAAGCTGCCGTTTCCTGACAGAGGGCTTTGGCTCCGGAGGGAGCTCCCTCGCCTGCCGGCTTCGGTGCATGCGGCCTACTCGACGGCCCCGGGGCACACGCAGTTTAGGGTCTAGGGCGCTCTCAAGCGTGGAATCATCATGCAGCACAGCTGCCATCTTCTGCATGTGGTGGGTGAAGAAACCTGGATTTGCGACCACCCAAAAAGACAGCAACGCCCTCAATGGGAACCAACAAAACATGGAATCTCTTCATTGCTATTGAAAGCACCGAGCTCCTCATCCCTCCCAACATGTGTGATTCCGAGAACTGAGCACGTGTCATGCGCCCGGCAAACCATTCGCGGTGGCGTACGACTGCGATCTTCATGGTGCGCAGGCCCCAAACATTCCTTCAACCACTCAACAACGCCTTGGATTGTCCCAGTGAACATACATCCAAGGATCGCCACGCACCAGCGAGCTCCACTCCCATGCATTTGGCGATCCTGGCTTCTAATAGAAGGGACACTGAGTGCACCATGCCGCAGGTTTCGAATCGCACGGAAGTGCCAGCGGAAAAATCACAATGCTTCAGCTGGGGTTGATACTATTGCTTGAACCTGATTTCCTAGAGTGCCAAAGCAAAAAGAAACCCACGTTCTAAGTTGGAACCGCCCTTTGCGGGCATGAGGCCATTTGAGGCCTTACGACCTGTTGAACATAAAACGTGCAACTCAACGCGGCACACCTGCACAAAGACAGTAACATTGCAGAAGCACCCCGAAGGCAGCTTAGGCTGTGGCTCCCCCCTAGAGGCCAATATGCCAGAACCCCCCCCACCCAGCCCCATCGCCCAGACCCCAATGCAAACCCTACATTTATTCCTGCAAAGTGCAAACCCCAAAGTGCCACCAGTGCCAGCCCAGTCTCTCATCCAAGTGCAGCGGCCCTCGCTCAAGGGCGGCCGCGTCCAGACGGGCTTCCTGCAGCAGGTTCAGAAAGGTACATGGAACCATAAACCCTTTCGGGGTTCATTTGGTATTTGGTCCCCAAAGTAACCCAGGTAGAAGGGGATCAAGAGTTAGGTGGAGGACGGGGGGAAGGTGCAGCCTTCAGGGTTCCTTATCTGATGGATCGGATTGTGCAAGAGTGCTTTTGGGTTTCGGAACTCTGCACATGCAAATCAAACCAACAAACAGTCAACAAACCTTTCATCCTCAGGAATGCGCGTTTGTCCTACCGGGTGTGTGTGTGTGTGTGTGAGCGAGATCAAGTGTCACCGATGTTTGAAGTTTGCAATAAACGGTCATAGGATCGTCCTCTTCGGGCGTCACTGGCTCGGACGAGCGATGCACCACATCATGCGCATGGCGGATGTAGCAGTTGGCAGCACCTGGCTAGTGAGATTTTCGCAAAAAAAAGTATGCAAGCCCTTGCTAGATCCCCATGATTCATCCTTGCCCATGACGGACATTACCCAACCCTTCTCGTCACAGCCACGTGCGACATCTTCCCTCCAGCAGCCCCACCCGCCCTCGAATTCTTCATGTGGCAGATTCAGAACAAGCCTGGCACATTCATTCTCATGGAGGAAGCCGTTCAACAGCGAAACTAAATAGCAAGAACTGGAAACTACTGCCGGGGCGTACTTGCACCACTTCAAGATACTTCAAGCGCAAGAGTCACTTGCACAACACTGACTTCCCTAAACCCTAAACCCTAAACCCGAAACCCTACCCCAAAACTGCAGCTTGGCTGCTGAGGCACAGCTGCTGCGCTCCAGAAGATGCATCCCTCGGGATGTCAACTCTAGGAAGCAGCTTTATGGAGTTCTACCAATCGCTTAAGAACCCCCCGCGCCCCCCCCCCCCCCCCCCCCCCCCCCCCCCCCCCCCCCCCCCCAGGAAATATTCTTCCTTATAAGGGTCATTCATGTAAGATTTTTTTTTTTTTCGGGGGGGGGGGGGGGGGGGGGGGGGGTGGTGGTGGCTGGGCGGGGGGGGGGGTGGGGGGGGGGGGTGGGGGGGGGGGGGGGTGGGTGGGGGGGGGTGGGGGGGGGGTGGGAGGGTGGGGGGGGGGGGGGGGGGGGGGGGGTGGGGTTCTGCTTGCATAACTGCAGAAGGCAGGTTCTAAGACAGAGGCGCCGTCATCTCTGGCCTCGCAGTTGCAAAAGTCCAAGCAGCTCAAAAAAAAACTCCGGACGTTGCTTCAACAAGAGTTTATGCTGTGTAGGCTTTCGGGTCTTGGGGATCTGGTTTTGCAACAAGCATACAGGAAGCACCGGGGGGGAGGCATCTTGTTTGGGTTGTGCCACAGGTTTTGCATCGACGGCCATGCAGCCCCCTTGACAGATGACACCCTAAACCCTAAACCCTAAACCCTAAACCCTAAACCCCTGATGTTGTCGGCGGTTGCGGGACACCCCATGCTTCTTGCATCAAGGTCTCATGGCCCGGAGCTTGTTGGAGACGTTCAGCCAGTCGATGCGCTGCAGGGGTAGAAACAAGCGAAGCTGCGAAATGCTCAGTGAGGGATGAAGACGAAGCAAAACCCCGGATATCAAACAAAATCAAACAGGGATCTACAAAATACTAACCCCACAGGGTCTTGGCTTGAAAAGGGCACCAAGTACTGCATCCTGCAGCATTTCTACCTATCCGCAGGCTCTGAATACTGTAAGCTACAGCATTTCTGCCTCTTCTTCGCAGTCTCCAGTTATCGCAAAATACAGCTCTACCCTTGTCGAACGACCCCAAACACAATTGAACTACAGCATTTCTGCTTGTTTTATGCACGAAATGGGCAGCAGCTTCGAACTTGTCGCGTTTGCAGCCTGCGAAGACGCAGGTTTGCTGTAATTCACAATATTGAGCCTGCGAACAAGCAGACGTTCTGAACAACTTACGCGTTGCGAAGCAAGACCTTGTAGGTCCAGGCCTTCCTTTCTTCCCCTCTCAGCCTTGCCTTCCCTCTAGAAGGGTTCAGGGGTTTTTTGCAAGCACTCTCTGCAGCAGCAGGGTTTAGGGTTTAGGGTTTAATTGCCTTTCTGTTTATCCCTACTTGTTTGTGTTGATCCTCGTCGGCTGTTGTTTGATCTCTATCCCCACGAATGTTGCCAAGCGAGGGGCCTAGTTCACTCGACTAGGTGCTTCTTGCCATTGCCGAGCGCACCTGGCCACGCTCCACCAGGAGCTCGCGCTGCCTGCTGGGCTCTGCACTTGCGGCTTTAAGCTTTGCTTTGAGGGTTTAGCGTTTAGGGTTTAGGGCTTCCAGGATATTTTGGTTTCCGGGTTCTCAAACAAAGTCTATATAGAGCCCACCAGGTGTCCACTAAATCTCCGAGTCATTCCCAGGTGATCTCAACATATCTCATGGGAACCGTAGTACCACGGCAGCATCAGCAACTTCAGAGTTGCATTGCACCAAACCGCAGAAGGCGACAAAAGTTGATGAGGCAAATCCTACGAGCTAATGGACTGCATCTGCGGGGGGGGGGTTCAAGTTGGGGAGCTTCCATGATCAGGGCTTCCAAGGGCCCGCTGCTTCAATCTGGCCCTTCTTGACCCGAAACCCCGGTTTGCGGGGGCCTCTTCCTCTGCACTTTCTCGGCCTGCTCGACCAAAAGCTTCCGGCGCCTTTGCTTGCCCTGAACCCTAAACCCTAAACCCTAAACCCCAAACACGCTTGCCCTATGGGATGCTGCGGGTCTTGGAGTCTAAACCCCGGGTTCTCCTTTGCGAGAACCCCAGCCCGCTGGAGCTGGGACAGTTAGAGGGTTCTTAAGGGAGGGTTTAGGGTTTAGGGTTTAGGGTTTAGGGTTTAGGGTTTAGGGTTTAGGGTTTAGGGTTTAGGGTTTAGGGTTTAGGGTTTAGGGTTTAGGGTTCAGGGTTTAGGGGGTTCAAGGTGTATGTAACTCAAGGTTCCCTTACTTCTCCCTCCCTAAGCTTCTCTAAGGCTCCCTAGGTGCCTGCCCCCCTTGAACCCCCTCCCTTAAGAACCCTACAAGACAGGCTCCCAAAGTCTTTTCTTGCCTCCTCGGGTTTGGGGTTTAGGGTTTAGCTCATGTTCTATAGGGCTTGTGAGCTTGGGAAATTTGGACCTCTATAGAAGCAGGTCCCCACCACAAAAACACCTTAAAGCCCTGAAATCCTAAACCCTCCTTTCATCCATCTGGGCTCGAAGGGAAGCCAGAACCGAAACCCTAAGTTCCCTCAACCCTAAAGAGCCTAAACTCCTGGAAGCCCTTGAATCCCAAGGCCCTAAACCCCCTAAACCCTAAACCCTAAACCCTAAACCCAAAACCTGAACCCTAAACCCTAAACCCTAAACCCTAAACCCTAAACCCTAAACCCTAAACCGAAGCCCTGGAATCCCAAGGCCCGGGCAAGGAGGGCTTTGCATCTTTGAGCTCCTCCAAGGCTTCCTGAAGCGACGCCTGCTGGAGGGTAAGAGAGGGGTCGGGATCATTACTAATAGGCTTCCCTGATGGTCACATGGTCCCTTGATGTTCTCTTTATGACTATACGATAGTAACCCCCCCCCCCCCCCCCCAAAAAAAAAAAAAAAAAAAACAACTATTCTAACTACTAAGGCCCCTGTATTAAGATGATGTTATGTTTCTGTTTCTGGGTTCTGGGTTTAGGGCTTGTAGGGTTATGGTACCTTAAGGGTTCAGGGATTACGGGTGTTAGGGGCGTTCAGCTTCTGTTGCGACTTCAGGTAGCGAGCCGGTCAGCAGTAATGCCTGCGATGGAAAGATGATTCGTGGCGTCCAGTGGCTTACGGGCACCACCAAGACATTCCACCAGATGCCCAAGAGCACAGCTCCTCGCGAAAACCGACTACATCAAAACAGAATTCAGAACATGTCCTAGACCCGTACATTCAGGAACCTCCTCCTAATGGAACATCAGCAACCCCCAACGTCAACAGCCATGAGTTCTTCCACAATGAGCATGGTGCGCCATCCTACACGTGCAAAAACCACAGGTACAGCAACTTACCGCAATGCACCATGAAACACAGAGCAATGTGCATGTATCACGATGGAGCAGAAGCCTCCGGCTGATCTTCAAATTCAAAGGTCGGGGTTTAACCCAAGTTCTGCCCAGTATACCCTAAACCCTAAAGCCTAAAGCCGAAAGCCTAAACCCTAACCCTAAACCCTGAACCCTAGACCCTAAACCCTAAACCCTAAATCCTAAACCCTAAACCCTAAACCCCATCATTCCTGCCCCTCTTGCTCACACCACGACAAGCGCCTCTTGGAGCTCGGCTTTTAAGGCCTTGCCGCAGCTCTTTCTCTTTGGGTCTTTTGGGTTTGGGGGGGGGGGGGGGGGTTTAGGGTTTAGGGTATAGGGTTTAGAGTTTGGGTCTTAGGGTTTGGGGGGTTTAAGGGCTTAGCTTTTGTGGTTTTGGGTTTGGGGGGGTTTCAGGGTTTGCTCTTTCTTTGGGTCTTTGCGTTTGGGGGGGTTTAAGGGTTGAGGTTTGTGTACAGGGTTTAGCAGTTTAAGGATTTGGGTCATAGATCTCGAATGTTCGTCCTTAAACCCGATGCGCTCCAGAACCTCGAAACCCGAAACCCGATCGAACCCTTTCGCTGCAGTTACAGGCTTGCTGGGGTGTAATTCCAGCACTCATGTTTAAAGTCAAGGCAAACCACGCAGCTTGAATCTTGGCTTTAATTTCAATATTTTGCTTTGATAAGGTTCCAACCCCTGCGCCCAAAGCCCGGGTTCAAGCTTTAAGGTTTTGAGCCAAGGTACTCGTTGGAGCATCTGCTTCTCTGTGGGGGTCCACTCGATCCTGTGGCAGAGAAGTCCGGGACACTGGGAAAAGGGGTTTTAGGTTCAATTAGGGGTTGCTCCGCACAAAAATCCCCAATGAGAATGGCGGCTCATTCGCTTCAATGTGCAGCTCAGCGGATTGATAGGCCTCTCCGCATATGCTGCTTGGAGGGTGCTGGCTCTGTATGACCACCGCTTCCTCGCATCAGAGTTGCCTGACATGCCCACAGCTGTGAAAGTTGATCGCATGTCTCGCGTGCATCTGCCATTTCATGCACGCTTGGGCGAAGGAGCTGGGATGCTCCGGAAAGCCTCACACCGACACAAAATACGATGAACCACATTGCCTGGCATGTCCCCGTGCAGCCGAGATGCAAGCAAACACCGGTTCAAAGAAACGAGGTGCCCCCGTGTCGGGCACGCCGCATCTTGTCAGGGCACAATGCACGCAAAACGCCCAAAAATCAGAGCAGCATCCTCAGTATAACCTGAGTAGGAGGGCTTAACTATAATAAAGGGACCATAAACCCGAAACCCGGCTTCTCAAGATTCTGGTGTGAAAAGCCCAAGCCCCACATGCAAGCCTTCTGCGTAAACTCCGGAAGTGGGTCTCTGCCACCTCCACCTGAGAGGTTCAGGAGGGCTTAGGGTTTGGGGTTTTGGGTTTAGTTTGGGGTTTAGGGTTTAGGGTTTAGGGTTTAGGGTTTAGGGTTTTGGGTTTTGGGTTTAGGGTTTAGGGTTTAGGGGAGGTTCAGGGTTAGTGTTATAGGGCTTTTTTGGCCACTCGCAAAGCAGACCGGGTTTAGGGTTTAGGGTCTAAGGAGACGGTAGGTCTGCCATGTACCACACTTGAAGCTGGCAAGGTTGTCCGGAGCCCAGTATTCAAAAGGGACACAGCAGCGTTCTGAGGGCAAGCTTTAGGGTTTAGGGTTTAGGGTTTAGGGTTTAGGGTTTAGGTCTACACTCTCAGGTTGAGACGAGGCTTGTGAGGTTCTGGGGGCTCCTTTAGGGGCAGGGGCACCTGAGGGCAAACGTTTCACTACCAATTTCTTAAGAACCCCCAAAAAAAAACAAGAAACAACATATGTATATGTATATATATATATATATATATATGAATGTATATGTATATGTATATGTATATATATATATATATATGAATGTATATGTATATGTATATATATATATATTCTATCAAGGAAATTGTCGTCATACCCGATCCTCCTGCAAAAGGATCCTGATGGGGCTCGTTGTGGGTATTTTAAGGCCTTACAGGGCCCGAAAACCTAAGCCCTAAACCTGCCACGACGCTGGGGCATGTGCTGGTGACTTCTGGTTAAGCAATCCGTCTGCGCTTGGTTCGGGCTCATTGTCCCGTCCTTCATGGCGGGCAGCAATGCAATGGCTATTTAAGTAGAGTAGAGGTACTTTGGGAAGCTTTTGTTCCGATTCTGGGGTTACTGGGGTTACAAAGGATAATGCTGATAAGTTGTGTTTGCCCCGGGGTAAAGCTCCAAGCATTTAGAATCTGATGAGCGTCGACTTAGCTTGCCCGTACCCGGACTTGTCACGGTAAAAACATGGTCTTCAAGTGTTGACTCACATTGCAGGCCGATTACCTACGCGAGTCAAGAACAGCCCCAGAATTCTCACCCGATACTATTAACACGAAACCCCGGTAGCAGATTTGAGCGCTCCTTTCGGGCGCTTGGCGAACAGTTTGCGTCGCTCCTTGGGAGAGAGGCCACCTGACTTTTCGCACTCAAAGGGGACTGTGGAGCACACGACCATGCAGCAGTGCAAGTCATGGCGACAGGTAGCACTGCCTGACTGCGTGCAAGCCGGAAACCTGTTTCACCGACTGGGCACCAACCATTGGGCAAAGTTTCCCATATTCTCAGCTCTCCACGGTACATGACGCCAGCTGCGTGCGAAGCCACAGTGAGAGCTGCTGGCTTTAGCTTGGGTATATTTAAGGTTCGGGGTTATTAGGCTCAAGTGAGTTCCGGTTCTGGGGTTGAAGCGGACGACGTTTTGGCTCCAGGGCCTCTACCCTGCCCGCTTGAGCAAGCAATGGCTCCGTACAGCACCGGCATGTGGCCTGAACCCCCGAATGCTAGGTGGTTGGGGTTCGGCTTCGTTTAGTTTGAAGCAGGTCCCACCTTTTCAGCAGAGTATAAGCCGCTGCTGCTTCGTTTAGTTTGAAGCAGGTCCATTTTATTCAGCCCAGTTGTGGCCAACAAGGACCGCAGTGGTGTCACATCCTTGGGGATGTTGGGGGGCATCATCTCACCAAGCGGTTGATGTCGTGTTGATACGAAGCCTCGCGGAGTAAACCACGTTGCACCCTAAACCCTAAGCCCTAGGCCGCGCACCCTGAATATCCAACAGACGAGTCAAGAGTGGCATATATTGACGCGCCTGCACCTCAGCGGCATGCCCTTCTCCAGTCTCCAGCGCTTGTGCCTGACCACCGCAAAGGAACTCTCTCCTGACTATAGTGACTGTAGGGGGGGAGGCGAAAACTCTGTGGAGTAACCTGCGGGACTGTGGAAGATTCAGCATGCTTTGGGTTAAGGGTTGAGGGATAAGGGTTTAGGGAAGGGTTTCAAGTTGGCTTCTAGGCTGCAGAAGATGTAGGGCGAGACTCAAGACATCTAGCATGCTTCTCTTCTACAAGGTCAGCTCCTCAACACCAATACCCAGGTTCCAGGTGACCTATTGGTAGGAATGAAAGGGGGTCCCTGGTTTGTGCTTCCGGCCCCGATGTATCAGGATCAGCTTGCATCTGAGGCCGCGTCTGCGCCCTTCCACGCTGCCATGGCCGCCTAGCGCATCACAGGTGGGCTCGGCCAAGACCCTCAGACAAAACCTCCAGCTGCCCTGCGCCTAACCCTTGCGATCTCCTCAACAGCCATGAAGAACGGTTGAATAGCTTAAGCCCTCTGGCGAGAGGCTTCTGCATGCGAGCCCCAAAGCGCCAGACCCTGAGATTTTCGGTTGCGTACGCACCTCGGGTTCCTCTACGAAACGCTTACTGGGGATCCCAGTACCCGAATAAAAGTCTGGTGGTCTTCTTTTTATCATCGTGGTCTTCTTCCACGGCTGGGGTTCAGGGGGATTTAGGGGCTTAGATTTACAGTTGGGGTTGAAGGGATATGCAAAGTCTTAAGGTCCCCGAAGTCGCAATCATCCTCGCAACTCCCGCGTTGCTGTTCCTCGAACTCTTGCTGCGTCGGGGGTGATGCAATAACCTGAAGGCCCACTAATTCCGGACCCTGCGATGGCCCTGCTTTTGGAGGAGGGGCTGCAAGCGCACAATGCCCTCCTGCAAGTCTGTCTTGCGGCTCCCTTGGCAGGCATGTTGCTATACTTGCATGAAGCACTTGCGTGCACATCCATGCCCCAGCAAGTCTGCAACAGAATATGCAGTCGCACACGCCCCGGAAGAAGTCAGTAAGCTGTATTCGGCATGCCGCCAGACCCACAACCAACCACCAAGACATGCGACGAGATGCGACAAGACAGTTTGTGTTCAAGCCCGTTCAAGCACGGCCTGCCAAGATGCCCATACCGCGAAACCCTGCAACAACCCCCACGCACCAAGCCTCTACTTGAAGACTAAATCCTGATCTCAGATCAGCTCTTGGGAACTCTGTGCGGGAACCCGGCCTTTGACCGCCACGGCCCCAACTTTGCCAGCTCCTTTGCATAGACAACGCGGGCTCCGACATTAGCCATACCTCGAGCCCACCCCTTAGTCCCCTTTGTCATTGTGTGTGCGTCTCCCTGACCACACAACGTCCCTAAATTAAAACTTAAGTTGCCCCCCCCCCCCCCCGCAGCCCGGCAGATAATATCGCAATCAGAGGAAACAGGCAGTTGGACATGAGGTGCACCCCGAATTTTGCCTACCCTACTACACTTCCAACAGTAAAAGGTGGCGTTAAGCAGCAAGTTCTTCTTGTTCGGGTTCAGGGATCGGAATTTCGTCAAAAGGCCCTGGATCCTAAACACTACAATCGCGCGCCTGCTCGGGATTGCAGTTGAGCTCGGCCTTTTCGGAGAGGAAGTTATGGTTTAGGGATGTTTAGGGTTTACGGCTTAGGGTCACCAGGAGGCGTGGGGGAGGGGCAGAGGCTCTGAAAGGGGGCCCTAATTAAGAACAACAACCCATGGGTGCGGTGTCAAGGGATTGTAGTGCTAGCGGTCCCAAATGTTAAACCCTAAACCCTACTGGCCCCCAGCGCCCGGCGTGCGTTATGAACAGCACTGAACAGTTTAGGAAATTAGGCACCTTATCTTTCCCCATGTATACCCTTTAATTGTGGGATTCTAAAGCTTAAGGGTATATCCTTACCGCATTCCCTTCTAAAGAACCAGAACGTTGAGCTGGGCCCGAAAACCCCTTGGGTGCCGCGCCAAAGCCAGAATGGCATCTGCTAGGCGTGCCGGTTGCAAGCTTGAAGCCTTGCAAAGATGATGCGGCCCTAATAAAAACCAGGGATTTTTTGCTTTCGACTTTGGGTGGAGACAGCATGTCCTCTTCCGCTAGGTAGCAAAGGTGTGTTGGTCACACTCCCCCCCCCCCTCCCTCCCCCCCCCCCCTCCCTCGTCTCTCTCTACGTCTCTCTCGCTGAGTTTGCAATACAGGTAAAGTCTGCTGTTTCTTGAGTTGACAAACACCTAGAGCTAGCAGTCAGCTATCCACGCGCAAAAGCATGATGAGCGGACAAGCCAGAGAAAGCCTGCAGACTGCCCAAAGCACCCTATCCGACTCCGGCCAATAACCGCACGCCTCCCTATGCGTTCCGAGCTATGCCGCTAGGCCTGCACACATCAGCAAGTCCCTGGTGAGCCCCTCCCCTCGCCCTTAAAGAAAGAGAACCCTTGATGCGCCACACTTCTTCTTCTTCTTCTTCTTCTTCTTCTTATTTGGGGGGGAGGGTTGCATCAGGGGGGACGGGATTCAGCAGCTTGTGGCCTTCTCCCCGAGATGATGCACTGCTGCAGGAACGAGCTCCGCCTCACGACCTGTGCAAAGCTTACACTCCGCTGTGCAACTCATTTCCGGCTTACAGGGGCGAGTGGGTTGGGGTGGCTTCGGACAGGTCGCTGCAACGAATATGCTTGACGTCCCTTGATACAGTGCTGTATAGGCTTGAGGCTTGAGGCTCGTCTAATCAAGCAGCCACGCAGACAATTGCATCATGTAACCTTCAGGCTGTAAAGCCCTGCAAATCCGAGACGCGCAACAACAACGATAACTTAACACCAGTTATGAAACGGTGAACTAGCGTGAAGGGTTAGGGCCAGGTTGGGCCCCATGGGCTCCGATTGCTTCTGTGTCTCTCAAACACACGCGAGGCTGACGACTCAAGATCACTGAAGTGATCTCTACACAGATGTGCAATGTGCTTGGCACGGCATAGGGCCACGGCCCAGTTGGAGACGCACGAAGGAACGGAGGCCTCGGCAACATGTCTAGACCAAAGAGTAACCTAGGAACTAAAAGGGCGCCCTTTTCTTGGTTTCAAGTTTAGAGGCGCTTAGAAGAGAACCTAAACCTCAAAAAAGGGAACGAGGGCCTACTCTGGGTCCCAGATCTTCTTGCAAGTAGTAGTTACGCACACACAGGTACTTGAACGCAGCAATTCAGGGCGCAAAGGCTGGAGCACGCACATGCCCTGCAAGCCAAAACTCCCAACTACGTTGGTCCCTACTGCGCCACTGTGAGAATTTGGCAATTCGAATCAATGTTCTTTTGCAGCCCTAAACCCCTTGCAGGCTTTTTTCAGGTTCAAGGTGAACCCGACTCTGTCTCAGTCTCAGAGGGCTTATAGATCCTATAGAAGGCATCTTTTGGACCAGGGGCCCCTGTCTACTTGGGAGGTTCATGGTACTTAACAACCAGTCAGAACTGTACTTATAACTCTTCTTATAACTGTACTTATAACCATACTAGGGCACTTAAGGGGCTTTTTAGTGGGTTATAAGTACAGTTTTTTTCTTGGTTTATAAGTACCATGAACCTCCAAGTACCTCACACACACACACACAAAGCCCGAATTCGCAGGCATCCGTGCGTCTTCAGGGTGTCGATGCTCACGCACGCACTCATGGAGTTCAGAGATTCGGAGGTGCTGAAAGACGCGCCGCACTGAGCTAAGAGGGGCCCTGAGTGCAGGGCACATGGCCAGCTCATCTGCTTTGAATTGGTCCAGCCTGGCGTGGGACCTTGACCGGAATTGGGCAGCCCGTCATGCGCAAGCCCACGGCTTAGAGCGTTATTGTGCAGACTCATGGCTGACTATGTCTGCCAACTTTGCCATCCTCTTGATCGTTCTAAAAAGCGAGAGAGCAGGTCATGCCGCTACTGCCAGGCTTAAGAGCATCTGTCCAAGAGCTGCGGACATCTGCTTTAAAAGCACAGTGAAAGCAACTTCCGAGGGTGGAGCGCACTGGCCAGGGTGTGCATGAGCTCGCCTCGGAAAGGAGCGGGAGAGACCGCTGAAAGACTCCCTGTAACCTGCGAGCCCGAACGCTGTTGCAGGCGATCTGGGGATGGCCACAAGGGTGGAGTGATGAGCTGAGTGCAAGCTGGAGAGCTTTTAAACTTTAAGCCTGTGAACAATGTATCTCTGACCCCAGCTGGGTGGAATGGGACAAGTATGGAACTGATCCGATACATGATTGCAGATCTGCTGACAAGCACCTGCCCAGCTATTGTGGGAGCATCGGCACACGATGTTGCTAGTATGCAGGTGGGCGGCGGCACATCAGCAAACGCGGAAGTGAGCCAACTCCGAAGTACTCCGAAGAGAAAGCTGTGAGAGCGAGACTCGAAACCCCTGATAAGTTGCTGGACGGCTCTGGTGCTCTGGTCTCGCAATAGGGATGAGGATATCGAGCTGAGGGCCTGGCTGGTTGGCTTGTGCTGGAACTCCTGGCGTTGAGACTTGCCGGTTGGCGTCATGATTCAGTCTCGAGGGCCTTAGGACCTCGGCAGCCTTCGGGCTACTCCGGGCATCTGAACCCAAACACGACGGCGACAATATGAGCGCCCTGGGTCCTATCCCCTTTTTGAAGCATGGACTTGGGTCGGCGCCAGCACGCCCTCTAGCCGAAACTTCTCGAACCGGTGCATGCCTTTGGCCTAAACCGCACAACCCTACTCCCTCATCCCAGCTTGCTCCTCAACCTTGCCGCTGAATCCCCCCCCTACTGAGGCTGCTGCGGCCAATGCCCAAAGAGTATTGGAGATGTCCTCAGCGGTCATGCTTTCGATTGGGAAGCCTTGCAATCCCAGCTGAACACATTACATTACTGTTCAGGGCTTAAGATTTAACGCTTTTCATCACGGGGCCCGTCTTGTGGAGGTCTTGAAAAAGGAATCCTGCTGTAGAGTGTGTGTGCTCAATTGCTGGCTTATCTTGGAGAACAGACCACACAGCTCTGCAGTCTACCGTAGAGTTCGATCTCTCACCATACACCTGGGAAACCTGGAGAGAGGATAGAGGCAGTGACAGCTGAGTAAACCCTAAACCCTAAACCCTAAACCCTAACCCGGCCTCTCAGCCATGATAAATTCTAGGTTGGTGCTTCATGCAGCCTTCTCCAAAACTTGTCGACTGAGAGCCGCGGAAACCATCCAAAACAGAGAACATGGAACAGATGAGGGTTTAGGGTTTAGGGTTTAGGGCCTACCTGTAGAACCCCAAGGTAGACGTGCTTAGGGCTTTGCAACGTTGAAAAACCCTAAAGGTAGACGTGATCGCCTGCGGCTTCCAGCGGTCTAGTTGTCCGGAACTTGCCTTAAGTGACAGCAGCTCAATTGTTGGAGCGGTAGGGGGCGGGGGGGGGGGGGGGGGGGGTAGGGAGATGTTCGAAAGAGATGCAGCGGCTGTGGCTCGGCTGTTGCTTCGCAATGTTCGGAAGATGCAGGCATGCTGCTCTGAGATTTGGGGCATGTCGCAAGCAATCAAGTACACGCCGTATGCCAACCTGCAAAACAGCAAAACCAACTCAACAGAATGCCTTTCTGCACATACCCTGCCTATCAAACCCTCAGCCTTGAAAACAAAGCTCATCTCTGTAGGCATCCAGACCACCAAGGCATGCAAAAAGTCGGTGCTGTCTTCAACACCTGCAGCTAAGGTCTGCATGCGTTCTTCACAGCACATGTGCAGCAAGAAGCAACAAAGATTTATGTCTTGGATAGTCTGCGCTTCTGCGCTAAAGGGTGCAGTCGCCTTTCCTCAATCGTGTTGCAGCTGACCCGTGCCCGACTGTCTCTTACACCCCCCCATATCCGGAATGGAAAGGAGTGTGCTTGACTAAGGGGAGATGTCTAAGAGAACTTATTCCCCCCACCCCCACCCCCACCCCCCCACTACCGAAGAAAGGAACACGGGTAGCCACAAGGGGGAAGAAGCTCAGCTTGTGGCGGAGCTGGGCTAGTGCCCAGGCGCTGTTTGACTCAGCACGGCGCAAGGATCCAATTGATCGGCCACTTTAGCTCCGGGTATAAGGCTTAGATATCTACACATTTTCACAGAAATGATTAATGTACTTGTTTGTCTACTCTGTATATGTATCTTAGTTACTCGGCGATCTTGGTTAGGGTTTCTATACTTATGCGGGTTAGTTTCAAGACTTCGGCGGCATGATCCGAGGGAGCTGGTAAAGTGCATTCTTACCTGCTGGCCCCTGACACACACACACACACACTGAGACAGGCTCTCAAACCAAAGCCATTGTAGCCAGGAGAAAAGTATGGCGTGTCCCAAAGTCCTGCCCTTTTTTTCTTCAAGGCTCCCGGGGTCAAAGTCCTGCTCGAAACCCTAAACCCTACGCCTTAAACCCTACTGTACCGAGATGTCGAGGCCCCCGCGAGCTCCACGGGTGTCATCTTTGGTGCAGCCGCTGCAAGCCGGCTCGCCTTAGGGCTTGGGCTCTCAGACGCGCGCACGCGGGTGAGGATCGTAAGAGCAGAGTCCAACTGAGAAGGCCATACTCTGAGGCATTTAGGGTTTAGGGATGAAGAGGTAGAGAAGCCGAGATGTGAGGAAGCATGCCGCTCCAGAAGTCTGTAATTACCCAACAGGTGGGCACTTGGCACTTGCAACACTGTTCCCTCTTCCATGGCACACGCTCCAAACAAAATTTTCTATGGTCTCAGGGCTTAGGGTCCTGGAAGGTGGACGCAAGGGCGACCCACCGATGTGTTCACATGCCCTCTACTACTCTAATTCAGGGTATAGGAACCATAATTAAGCCCTTTTAGGGATATTCACACCTCTACGCCCCTTCAAACCGCCGACTTGGGCGGCGGCTGCCTGCTGGAAAAAGCCGGCACCGATGCCTGCCGTGCTGCCAGGAGGTTACCATTGATCTTACGATGATGACTATTCATAGTACCATTACGATTCTTATGAGACATTCAAATTCTTACAGGGTTACATAGACAGTATATTACATATCCCAAGCTACGCGTGCTCCAGCAAACCTCTTCTGAACCTGTAAGCCGGCATGCTGCGCCGGCCGCTCTGCAGCGAAGTCTTGCAGCAGCCCACAGACAGTTGGCCTCACGCGTAGGCTTGGGCACATGTCGTGGCCTATGGTCCACACTGCAAAGAGGGGATCATCATGCTTCTTTTGGGCTTCATCTTCGAATTGAACTCCGAAGACCTGCGCATTTGCCATAATGATTTCCGCGGTTTCGGGTTTAGGGTTCAGTTTCAGCTTCAAGGCCTGGGACGGTTCCGGGATCATCCGATATCATCCGCCCAGGATGAGGCGCAGGCCAAGTTGCGTGGCCAGAAGTCGTGGATCTCCCGCCTTTTTTGCAACAAGGCCGTCGATGCTGAGATGCTGTGGATTTAGGGTTGTTAGGGTTGTTAGGGTTGTTAGGGTTGTTAGGGTTGTTAGGGTTGTTAGGGTTGTTAGGGTTGTTAGGGTTGTTAGGGTTGTTAGGGTTGTTAGGGTTTTTTGGGTTCAGGATTTTTAGGTTTTATTGTTCAGGGGTTGTAGGGCTCTTAGGGTTGACTTCCCGGTGGACACACCAATCTTACTTGTGGATGGCAAAAGTTGCATACCCTCGGACACCAAGGCCGGCACTCTGCTGCTTTGAACAGAAGCACTTTGAAATTTCTGCCTGCGCTCGCGCTGAAGCTTTACTTTTTTGCCAGAGACCCTAGGCCCTAGATTCCTACATCCACTCTCTACTCCCTCTCCGTTCTTCCCTCTCGGAATCTCGGAGAACCGACAGACACCCTCTGAGGAGGTGGGGCGGGGGCGGGGGTGTCCCAAGGTAAAGCCATGAACTAAGAATCCATGCGATTGATTGCCTGGCTTGACCCGGATCTTTGCCAGGGACCAGATGACATTGGCCTTGACATGTCCGTACATGTTGGGCAATGCTCTAAATCGGGCTACGCGCCACGGGAAGGTGAGCCCAAAAGGACCGCTCACTGAGATAACTACCCAACATACCCAACACATCTTCACGAAGTTGTTGCTCGGCTCCCGCGAGGGCTTGCTGACACTGGGCCAGTGGGAACCGATTGATCTGAATGCGGTTAAACTGCTAAGCTTGCACCTTGTAGCTTGTTGCTTACTCTGCACAGCTGTACTTGGTTTGGCTGTATGTATATGGCAGGTGAGGCAGTGAGGCATCATTAGTTTGAAGGCGAAGACCAGCTTTGATCATGGTGGAAGCTCTTGGCCGAACGATGGTGCAGTTCAGATTTTCAAGTTGAGGTTCAGGGGTCAGGAACAAAGCCCCAACCCCAGCTTGGTAGCCCAGGAACAACATCATAATAAAAGGGCACCCTTATTGGGGTTTGTTAGGGCACAAGGAAACCCAGACCCCCCCCCCCCCCCCCAACAAAAAAAAAAAAAGGCACCGCTGGGCTACCAAGCCCATTGCCCAAAACACGGCTTAGGGCTCGGACACAGCACTGTGCACTAAACTCGTCAGAGAGAAGATCCTGGCCCAGGCAAGCCTTTAGCCTTTAGGGTTTAGGGTTTAAGGTTTTGGGGTTAAGGTTTGAAAAAATGGTTTCGGGAGAACGGCAGCAAACAAAAACCAGCCGCTTCCACTGCGTCATAGACACGTGCACATATATATATATATATATATATCTATATATGTTTGTATATATATATATACATATATTTATTTATTTATATTTATATATATATATATGTGCTATGTGAACACTCTGCCAACTGATTCACCAGTAACAATCCGCCACTCTGCGCCAACATTCGTGTACACATACCCCTACAAATACCTTACATATTCATGTTTTTCCTCAGAAGCCCCTACATAACCCACTAAGTAACCCCTTTTTTTGTACCTTATATAGTCCCCATAAACATATATATATATATATACCTTGTATAGCCCGTGTATACCTAAGTGTCCCCCTAAATAGCCCCCTGAGTCGCCCCTCAGGTCACTTACACCCCTGAGCCCAGTCCTCTGTGCGATGCATCAAGGCTCCGAAGGCGTCATCGTCTTGCAGCCGCCCCTGAGTCTGCTTATCCCCTCCCCCTAAGAATATAGGGGCCTTAAGAAATTAGAATAGGGTTTAGGGTTTGGGGTTTGGGGTTTAGGGTTTATTAAGGTTTACGGTTTAGGGCTACTTCAGGGGCCTTAAGAATTAAAATAGGGTCTTGGGAGAGCCATTATAGTACATTTATACTAGACCAGAAGGGAATATTGCTAACATAACGAAACTGGTGTATCAAATATTCGGGGTTAGGGGGGGGGGTTAATATTAGGGGGACGGGACTTGCGGGCTTAAGGCTGGACTCGTTCTTTGGGAAAAGTCTTGAATGTGCAGAGATATTTTTCTGGGGGGCTAGGGTTGAGGGTTGAAGGTTGAGGGAGTTTGATTGGAGCACTGCAAGCCCAAGACTGGGTTTTCGACTTGCACTGTGCAAATCACTCCATCGGATATGTTAAAGGAGGTAATAGGGACCATCTTAAGGGCCCTGGTAACTACCCTTAGATAAACCCTAAGCCCTACACCGCCCCTTCGTGGCGACCTGCTTGCTGCCCACGGCGGAGCGGGCAAGCGTCACAAACGCTGCGCCTTAGCGAGTGGCAAGTACCCTTTAAAACCCGAAACCCCAAACCCAATACATTCTACCTGTAATTCAATGTCCTAGGACCCTGTTAACGCTGCTGGTTTTCTCTGTTCTTCACTCAGCTTGGCTGCTTGCACGTCCGAGAAAAATGCCCGCACAAAATTCCTAAGAACCCGATACTTGCATAACTTGTAATTACAGGTTCTCGGAAGTCTGGCCAGTTCGCCTGCACAAAGCATCGGCCTGCTATAGGGTTCTCTGAAGGGTTTGGGGGGGGGGGGGGGGGGCTCACACACTTCGGGAAAAAAAGAGGGCTTCTGTAGGGCTTGCGCATTAGCCAATAAATCTGATCGAAGCATCCTGGGCCCTCGGCTAACGTGGATGGAGTTCATCTCTGATCTGGGCCCATGTCAAGAACCAGGGGTGGGCCTTTCTAAGCCCCTTTTATCTTTTTTAAGCATGGTCCCTTTAACTTAACGGAACCATTATCCCCCCGTAATCCCCTAAAGCGGGCCCTTCCTAGTGGAAAACAACTATCGGGGGAACCAAGCCCAATATCCCGTGCTGCAAGGTATGCACGGAGATTGTGGCTAAGCAAGGGGCGGTGTGGCTGTGTGGCTATGGGGTTCTGACATAGAATGCCATGACAGCTTCTGGTGGCTAGAGGTGCTCGTGGAAGAGGCCTCATACCGTATAGGCTCCACCAAGCAGACAGATCACATCAACAACGCCGCGCACACACAGAGCGCGCACGCACGCCCGGCTCGACATGCCTCATCAATACATCGGTTACTGGTACGGCATTTACTCTTGTTCTTCATGTTAAGAATACGATGATATCCTCCATTCAAGGATACTGCAGTGACCACAACCATCCTATGAATCTTTCATACTCCTTGTAGGCTAGGACAGAAACCACGCCAGGCCAAACCTCGCAAGTTGAGGAGGGGAATCACAAACATCGAAATGAACTATGAAAAGCTGGTGGGGTGTAGGGCTCCTGATCATGGGGTTAGGGTTCAGGATCATGGGTAGCAAGGCCTGACCCCAGATGCACGATGCGACAAGCCATGACTCCATCTGGGCAGCCCCTGCGCGTGCTCGCGTATGAGCTCCAGCGCCTCCTGAGGGAAGTCTGTGTGTTGTTGCAGGCTGCAGGAGTTTAAGCGCTTTAAGAAGCTGCCCTCCTGGGCTCAGCGATGCTTCGGGTTCCTTCGTACTGATGTACCGAAGACCCGATGTACCATCCCCAAGGGCGAGGTAGGGCGGAGGTCCTCTCTTCGAGCCCTGTGTAGGCGCCAAGTCCTTGGCAATTGTGTAGCGCAGACCTCCCTGTCAGTGGGGCAGCTACTCAATGAAAGCTTCCGGCGCTAGCCTTGAAGGCATGCAGTGCACCCCTCAAAGCTCTCCCACCTTTGTGTCCAGGGTCCCGGCAGCAGCGCTTCTCCAGGCGGGGACGGCTCAGCATCGCTTGAAACCTCTTGCTGAGCTTGGACACTTCAGCTCAAACCTACACAGGTGCGCCCCAGAACTCGCTAATTCTGTATATATGGGGCAAGTTCTGCAGCCTGATTTCAGCACCACCAAGCAAGGCCTGGACCCTCAGGATAGAATGCCCGTCCCTGTGCACATGCTCTTTCGGCAGCACCGCAACAACGCCTCGGTGCGTAGCAGTGCCATGGCTTGGGGCTCATGCCAAGCACTGCAAGCAGGTCAGTTGCTAGGCAGCGCCTGCTCATTTCAACAAGCAGAGGCTAATTAGGGCCATCGCCATGACGCAACCAAACCATGTCAATCAAGCTTAAAACCGCGCGAAAAGGCGACGTCACTCCCAGGGAGCAGGGCCTGTGTATCTTACATACACGTAGCTGTTTGGCTCAATCCCGTTCTGGCGAAGGGTCTTCTTGAGATTCACCTTCCTGGGTGGTTGGCTTGCAACACAATACAGCCAGTCGAACCATGTGCCTAATTGTAGAATGTGTGTATATAAATGTAATTATATGTATATGTATATATGTATGTATATATATAACACATGCTACACACACGCAAGCTTCGGCAAACATACCCTCGTGAGTCCATATCGCACTTCATGCCAAAGCCCAGCGTCTTTCCGCCCTTAAGTGTCAACTCGATCGGCCGTCCATCGCGGAGAGACTCCTGAATCAGCCGCACGAGCCCGTATCCCGTTTCATTCTCGAAGCCATCCATTTCGTAGGAGACACTGCACTCGCGGCCGTTCACGAGGCCGGTCACATACCTGGGATGAATGAATGCAGAGGTAACGGTGTGGCTGTCAAGATGTTGTTTGGCTTGATGTCATGGTAGTTGCACTACATACATGCCATGCTTGCATCCGCCTAACCGAGCCAGGTTGCACAGAATGTTCACCGAGTAGTGTATTCATCAGTTAAACCAGATACATACATAATATATATATATATGAGTTTTTACATTTATATTTATTTTATTTATCTTTATTTATGTATGAATGAATGAATGAATAAGTAAATACACAAACAAATAGAAATACAAATATAAACACAAATATAAAGAAACAAATAAATAAATATAAATATATGTATTTATTTATTGATTTATGTATATTTCTATCTATTTGTATTTATATTTATATCGATTAATTGCAGGCCTGGATACGCCTCGCCTGTGGGCCCAACGGGTGCCTTCTTTTTGGGAGTCTCCCCTCGCAGCTTCGCATTCTCCTTTTCGAGCTTGGCAGCCTTTCGACGGAGCTCTTCGACTTCCCGACTCGCCGAAGCCGCAGCAGGACGCTTCTTCGGTGGCATGGTCGCTGCGACAGGTGGCAAGGGGAGGGGCGGGAGGCGCCAAGGCCTGCAACACGCTACGGGCAACAATCATGTCAAAATCCCCGGCTCGGAGGGGGCAGCTCAAAGTTCTAGGCTTGCGAGCTATTTTTTGGGGAGGGCGCGCAACATGAAAAAGTCATGAAGCCCTGCAAGCCCCGGAAAGCAACGACGCTAAACCCTGCCAGAAAATCATATAAGTATACAATAATATCATATAAAAAGAAAACATTATTAATCGTGATATACTGATATAAACGCCCAAAGCCACCCACCTTTCGAGAGCCCGAGAGTCCCACCTGCTCTTGCCCGGCCGCCACTGCACGAGCTGCGAGTTGGCCGCAGGCCGCCCCCATGGCTCGACCTGGGTTTGTTCAAGGTCACTTGGGTTGAGGGTTTAGGGTTTAGGGTTTGCCAGTTTAGGGTTTAGGGCTAGGGTAAACGGGGTGCGGCATAAACTAGGGTTCGACTTGGGTTTAGGGCTACTGTGATACCCAGCTATCTTCTTCGCAGCATAGAGAAGTTAGTTGATGCAAGTGGCCGTAACATAGACTAGTCTTGCGCTCACTATAATACAAATCAGCAGACTTGTGCAATTCGGGGTGATGCTAAATATAGGATTACTTAGCGCAACTAGCCCTTGAATAGATTAGCCTTCGTCTTCACTATACTGAGGGGCGGACGTGTGCAAATAGTAGACACTGCATTGTTGTTTCTGAATAATGTAGGTAGTTTATGCTATGCAATTCCCTCAAACAGATTACTCTGCCTCTTGCTGCAACCGAAAAACTAAAACTTCGAGACCAACGCCTCTGGGCCACCATAGTCTGGCAGCTCCACATTGGAAAACAAGTATTCTATTTGATTCTATTTGCATCAGACATTTCGGAGGGCGTAGACTCCTCTGTTGGTTTTGGGTTTCAGCACGAATGCTCAGAATTGCTGTTTTGTTTGTTTGGTTGTTTCGACTTTCGCTTTTTGGTGAACATGCCCTGGGCCACTGTGGCCGCAGCTCATTCGCCCTCACGACTGCCCTTGGACCCTGGAATGCGTAATTTTCTGAGTGTGCTTTGACCCGTCGCAAACGAAGCAGACCTGAGCCAACTGCCACAAATTCCTCTCACAGGCGGCCGAGGACCCAGCCCTCCGTCGTGCTCCACCTGCTTTGTCAGCATCGACACATGAGGAAGGCGGGGCCTAGAAGAGACACCGAACACAAACAAACTACCTTGGAGTCCTTAGCTAAAAGCTGCTGGTGGGTGGGCAGTTGGGCATCCTTACCAGGAGAAGCTAAAGCATTCAGGGTGCAGCTGGCAACAGGCTCGGCGACCTGCCTGACAGTGGCCCGCAGCCCTTTTGACCGAAGCCTGGGCCATCTTCCACCCGCTCTCCCTAAAGTTCAGTGTTCTCAAATTGCCAGAGCGATGAGAAAACACACGCTGCCGCTGCATCTTCATCAAAGCTTCTTGGCTTACATCTATCTATATATGAATACATAAATAAATAAATATATATATATATATATATGTATATATATATATACATATATGTACATAAACCGGAAGCCCTTAACCTCACTTACTCGGGTTGACAGGGCTGCCTGCGCGCGGCTACTTACAGCTGGGTGCACGGCAGCGCGCGGAAGTCACGGAGCTGCTTCGATGTGGGCCTAGCTTCGGACTCGTGTATTTTGGCCACCCGTAACATGGGGGTTTACCATATTAAGGCGGTACCTTTTGAGGTCCTTATTATAAGGGGATCCTACCATTTTTGGGGGTCTATGTTAGGGGTCCCTTATTATCGTAAATTTCCACATAGGGCTTCTTCTGCCAGCGCGAGAATGAGTGCTGCGCGGGTATATCTTCATGTCTGTTCTATTCTTGCATTGGGCCTTTGTTTGGGCTGGTTTGGCTGTACAGTGACACCGTAGAGTTTTAGGATGTAGGGTCCAGAGCTTTCGGGCTTCTGGCTGTGCGACAAACGGACTTTCTCAGTTCATGGCCATGTGTGAAGAATCACGCCGTGCCAGAGGACTCTAACGTAGTTCTTCCGTACTTGGGGCTGTCAATGTCGCGCTTTTAGGGTCATGGAAAGGATCCTCCATCGTGCATGTGATTAGACAAAGGCTGCTGGGGCGGGAAGACCACAAAAAACTACCATTTGCTTAAGAACCCAAAAAGAATAAAATATAATAATCCCCATATTACCCTTACTAAGGAAGAATATCTGTATTTTTGGGGTTCTTAAGCAATTAGTAGAAAATAGGCTCGCATCGAACACCTCAACTATCCTTCTGGTCGTCGTTTATGTTTTTTTGTTGGTTGCTGTAAACCCGGGCCTCAGTATAAAAAGGTACTTTTTCAAAGTGGCTTCCTTAGTGGCTTCCATATTGAACTCCGCACCGAAAAAAAAACCTTGACAAGTGTAAACACCACCACATCCTTTGTGGCAGGTTTGCCCAAGAACCCAGCAGGCGGCCGTATAAGGGTTTGGAATCACCCTAAACCCTACAAACCCTGAGAGGGCCAGGCACTTGGTAGCCAGCGGCCGCACCAACCTGCCGTGGAACTTTATTCCACCCGAAGGCTCTGACGTGGTTTCTCTTCCTGTTTTGGTTGGGTTTAGGGTTCTGCTATATAAATATAAATATATATTTATTTATTTTATTATTTTTTATTTATTATTGTTATTATTGTTGTTTAATTTTTACTCTTTTTTTTTGGGGGGGGGGGGGTTCTATAGCCAGTCCCTGGACATTTAACGACCGAACTACACGAGAGAACACGTTCAGGGGCACCATCGGCAGATGATCATAGATTCAAGGTTTAGGGTTTAGGGTTTGGTGCTTAGGGCCTCAAGTCTCCCATGGTTGTTCCCGCGCCCGGCAGGCGGACACACAATCACTTGCTGGTTGAGCTCCGAATTCCGCGCCTATTTGCGTCACACATGCCTTCGAGTGTACAGGGGCAATGCGGTAGTGCCCGGCCTCCGTGGCATTGTATGGCACCTGGAATATGCGACAAGCACACAAAAGCAGGGCTCGTTCAGGCTTCAGGGCGCCGGCCCTCATAAACTTTTTTAGGGTTTAGGGTTTAGGGTTTAGGCTTTAATAATTTTAATTAAGTTTGTGTTTAGGAATGCAGCCTTGAATCAGCTTGCTCGCAATTTTGACTATGCACCCTTGCAATTAGGACTCCCGGCGGAGGTCCATAATCCCTGTAAACACAACGACCCAAGTTTGAGCAGCATGCTCGGGCAGGAACGCCACCTTTGAAGGTAGTGAATCTTTCTAGACCGTACTCGGCCATTCCATTTGTGCCTGTGCCCAAGCAGAATGTCACTAGTATGCCCACTAGTGCCCACACAGCACGGTTTATAGTTACGCAAACAGTGTCCCTAGAAGTGAAGCGATGGGGTACTGAAGCCACTGAAGGTAGCAACCACCGCGCGTGTTTCTGCGCAAGGGCTGTGACTCGTTGCTGCTGGCTCGTCTTTTCACCCCGTGCTCTGACCTTCCTTTGGGTGCGGGCCACGTGCAGCAAATCACAGTGCATTAGAGCCCTTGAAACCCTGTCTCGCCCTGACCTGTCTTATTATACCTAAACCCTAAACCCTGATTACCTTAGTTGTCCAGTAACCTGGGGGAAGTAAAGGTTAACCTTTGGGATTATCAGGGATTATACTACCCAAAAACAAGTTTAAAGCTTACCTACTCTACCCCTTAGAACCTTAAAAACGAAAGCAATATGTTCAATATACTCTTGGATTTTATATGAACAAAAATAAAGAAAAACCCAAGGGGGATACAGGGTTTTATATGAACAACGATGAAAAAACATAATTCCCAAGGGGGATGTAGTACTAGGTTACCCTACCTGTCGCCGAGGCCCCTTGCAGCTCAGCATGCTGGCATCGACGCCGAAGTTCTACGTAAGGCGCCCAGGTTTAGGGTTTAGGGTTCAGGGCTTGGGGCAACGGGACTTTTTGAGCAAGCACGTTTCAGATTTTCTCATGGTAGTTCCTTTTGGGTAGTGTACTCGAGTGTACTATAGTGTACTTGAATCCCTAATCATCGAGAAACTCTGAGAGAGTGGGTGTGGCTGTTATTCTAGCTACAGCACAAGATGTTGCAACGTGCTGCACCAGGAGCCCTTTGGCGTCTTCGGGAAGCACCCCGAGATCGCGACTACACGGTTGCAGCTGTGGTGACACTTCTGGCACTTGTGGCCACGTCTTGCGAAGCCCCCTGAGTCCCGACAATACAAGCACAAAGAGGTCAACATCCCGAGAATCCGCATGTGGGCACTTGATGGTGCGATGTGGAGAACACACATGATCAAACCGGATATCCTTAACAATCCTGGCCTAGGCAAGAACCTGGCCTATGCAAGAAGGCCGTGCAGGATTTGTGCTGACCACAGTGCCGCTGTTCTGAGCAACAAGTGCACCCTTCAAGCTGACACACTCAACCCCAAAACCACATCTGGAACCCATGTGAGCCCTTAGCCGGGACTCGGAAGCAAGGGAAGGGATGTTCCTCGCTGATGTTGCTGCCGACATTGGAATCACATCTCATCCCGGCGGGGCCCCACCCCTCCTGGACCCATCATCTTCTGCATCACCTTGGTTGGAGATTGCGTGTGGACTGCTAGGTTGGCCCCTTAAACCCTTTGAAAAATGTCATAAATACGATCTTCTTAAATCCAATAAGGGAACATGTCACAAGGTCCTGACTAGATTTAAGGCGCCTGCCCTTGCTAGACCCGGGAGTCACCTAGAATTATAAAAAAGGGTACCCTTTTTGGGTTTAAGGGGATTCTAAGGGAACCCCAACCCTAAAAAAAGGAAAAGAGGGGCCTACTCCTGCTCCGAAGATGCCATGATGATGGCGGTGGGGTCTGTGCAGCCGAAGCTCTGTGCGCACGTCGTTCGACGGTGGTTTGCTGTCCTGCCAAACCCTAAACCCTAAACCCTAAACCCTAAAGAAGCACCAACTTGCAAATTCAGAACCTCTTGTGCCTTCCACATGTGCCCTCGTTCAGCACAGAACTCGTACACCCGCCCGAGCCTCGACCAAGACGGGGACACAAACATCCACGAACCACAAAACCCTAAAACTTTACCCTCAAAACCCTCAAAACCCTCAACTTTACTTAAGGGGACATGCCTGGCTTTCCGCAGAGGCAGCGGCTCGCCTGTCCGGCTCGGCCTCGACCATCCCCTCAAAAGACCTGCCAGATGTTGCCTAAATCCGCCTGGAGTTTTTTGACAAAAAAGCGTACCCCCTTTCTGGCTCAAACTAGGGTTTTTTAAGGGTTTCCTCTTTGGTTTTAGAGAGATTTTCTTATGGGAGCCTAAACCCCTTAAAAAAAAAGGAATAAGCTCCTACTCGGGGTCGAAGACTACGGCTTCCGAAGAATTAGCAGAGAATGCGTGGTCCCGGGCCCCCAGAAAGTTTCCTCAAGTCGTCGCATGCCCGACAGCCTTACGTCTATGGCTGGTGGACAAAGGTTCTCCGGACTCCTGCTTGGAACTCGAGTTCGATCTTCAAAAGCCTTTCCCCGGCACCAGTATGCAATCAAGATGCTGCAGCTGTGCGCAATGTTTGGTAAAGACTTTGAGGGTACCGCACGACTGGATGCAGTGCGACACCTGAGATTTCAAGATTTGAGCAACAGAAGCTCTGCGTCTTTGGGCTTCGCAACTTGCCAGACCTAGCCAGCTCCCCATTGATGGCACGCATCCTGTTTGCCACGGGCTCTGCAGCGAGCGAAGCATACTCGCGCCGAGGCACATCCTCGCATATGCGCGGGAAGCGATCGCATCTGCTACAGTCAGCTGCTGTTGCGCTTGTGAAACCAATCCTTGGCAAAGCCATATCAGGTCGGGGGGTGGGGTGGAGGGGGGCTGTGCAATACGCTCCGTCTAGCGAGGAAAGACGAAGGAAGCCGTTGAGTAGTTGATGCGCATGTTTAGCTTACCGACTCCAAGGCAAAGCACTTTCTTGACACGTGGTAGGCCCTGAAGACGACTGCTTCGCGTGCACGCATACACCTGCTCTCAGGTCTTGCTGCCGAGGTTCGCCAGGATAATGTAAAACACCCATGTCATTTTAGGGTTTACGGTTTTAGGGCTTAGGGTTTAGGGTTTGCAGATTCAGGCCCGTGGCTGCCCAATGCAATGTGCAGTTTCTTTTGTGCGGGACCAGTTTAAGGACCTGATTTTGCCCTCACATACCCATGACATACCCGCATGGGCTGCATGCATACTTCTGGCACATGTGCTCTCGGGCTCTGAGCAGCTGCGCCAGACGTGCGTGAACAGAGGCAAGTTGACACATCCACCTTAGGATGTTCCCCCTTATACTCACAGTCCTTGGTAGGGATTCTAGCACCCCCCAATATAATCCCTATTAAGGACTGTTAGGATAAGGGGGAACATCCCATCGAACAGGGCTTATCTCAGGTCACCCAGCTGCAACACGAGCAAATTGGTATGCAAAAAACCAGAACCAACACAACCAAAACAGAAAAAACGACAAAACACACAAACACTGACAAACAACACACCAAACAAAAAGAAATCAGGGGCTCTTGTTCGAAGACACCAGTATCTAAGACCTCAGGGAAATATGTTTGCTTGGTTTGGGGTTTGGGTTGCTCTTTTAATATCTTTCTCTATTTGCTTTTTGGCCTTCGCAGGAGTCACTGAAACTTGCTTTGTATTGGTTTTGCTGTTTTCCACTTTTCTGTGTTTCTTGTTTGATTTAGTTTTTAGTGTTGACTCTGCCCGTAATTATCCTCCCCTATATATATATATATACATATGTATATATATATGTGTGTGTGTGACCGATTTTTGAATATTTATATTTCTGTGTATATATATATATGTATCTGACAGATGTCCTGGCAGCCCGGTGAGCAACTGTGTATGACTGCAGCTGCCTCTACGACAGCGCTCAAGGTCAGCTCTTCGTGCTCATGCGGAGAGGCTGACTTCTGGGCTCAGGGTTCGGGGACAGCTCAGGTTCTAGGGCTTTGGGCTTTAGGCTTTAGGGTTTATAGGGTGTTTAGGGCATCGTTGCCAAGCCAGAAACCTGAAAGTGCATGCCGCAAGCTCGTCTTTTTCGCATGGGGGCCACATGTTGCAAGTTTCACTGAATTGTTCCTTTTGAATTTGCAGGCACCGCGCTTGAATTTATGTCTCTGCTGTGGGCTGCCGGATGCAGGACGCAGATGACAAGCCAAGCAGTAATCAAATTGCGGTAGCAGAGTGTCAGAGCAGGTCTTATATTACTTATGCAGACACTCAGCCTAGTATCACTCTCACTCCTATCTCACTTTCCTATCATTAAACCTTAATCCACCTGAAGCAAAGTACCACCATGCTGAATCCTCACCTCCGGCACTTTCAGAGTGCCACCAGCCAGCTGCTCCTCGCGCGGCAATCGCTAGAAATGCTAGAACCTTGTTCTCAGGGTTTAGGGTTTAGGGTTCAGGGTTTAGGGAATGCGTGCTGCGCACGTGCTAGTCTCAGTGCCGCTTGACACAATGGACATCGCGTAAAGCATGTGCATGTGTCAAAAACTCCAGCAATGTCGATCGACGCGTCTGCGCTTTTATTTTTTTTGCTGCCTTGCGTGCTCCCATCTTCAATCCGTAGGACACTTTGCTTTCGGCAAGCAGCGCCAGGAGCTGCGTCGACATTTGTTGGAAACAGACGAAAGAGGGGCCAACAAATTACAACAACTCACTACACATATACCTTGGTATGTGTGTGCTGTACAAAAACCGTCTTCGGCACTATAGACGCGACGATCCTATCTTCTCAGTGCTTTTTGCATGTCTGCAGCGGCGGGCGCACCCAAGCTCCAGTTTTGCATCACGCTAAACCCTAAACCCTAAACCCTAAACCCTAAACCCTAAACCCTAAACCCTAAACCCATTGAAATCTCAGCAACCTCGAGGCCGGAGCCCCTCATTCAAGAAAGCAGAAGCCACCGATTCACAAACCGAAAACGACCGAAAAAAAATGTTTAGGGTTTAGGGTTTAGGGTTTAGGGAGAGAGAGAGAGAGGAGAGAGAGAGAGAGAGGCAACCCTGTCCCAGAAAAGCCAAGCCCAAGCAAAACCCCGAATCCTGTATTATATACAAGCCGGGACAGTTAAAATGGTATATATTTGTTGGACAGAATGGTATACATTTGTTTTTAAAGTGTGGGAAAAACATGCCTCTTGGCCCTAAAATCCTCCCCAGGCCTCCAGGGCGTCAGGGCATCCGCGCCGGTGCTGCGGAGCGCAGAAAGCTGGCTGTGCTGGCACCGAGAAGGGTAAAGTCCTGCAGGTTCGGGTCGATGATGACAAGGATTCTTTCGGGTTTGGGGCTTTGAGGTTTTAGGGTTTAAGGGTGAAGAGTTGAAGGGTTTAAGGGTTTTAAGGGCTTAAAGGTGAAGGGTTAAGGGTCAGGGATACAAATCCGAATGCTCTAGGGAATATGCGCACTGCGCTGCCCGTTGTGCCTACGACGTACGAGAAATCTTTTCAGTCTTGGGAGTAATAAACACCTTAGAACAAAACGGAAGATATCGCCAATACATTGATTAGCCGTCGAAGTCTCTGTGCCCATTCAATTGGCGAATCACTCAGCAGTCAACAAGTGGTAGCTCTCTGCCTGGCATGCCTAGTGCCTCATGCCTCTATAGTCCTCAATCATGCTTTCATCTGTCTCAAGCGCAATTCACCCCCCTCATCCCGCTGACACCCAAACATCACTCACCTTGCCATCGGGGGCAACGCAGGACGAACCAGACCTCGGCAATTCCTTAATCAACCCCCGAAAGAACCAAACCCTGAACCTCCAAACCAAAGAACCCGGACTCTTAACCCTCAACTGGACCCGTCCGTGGAGAGCATCCGGATGGCTTGGCGTGCGTTAAGCGCGCGAACTTGCGGGGGTAGCTGCCGCAGGGTGCTTTCCACCACCCTGTTCACCTGACAAAGGGTTTGTAAATAGGACTAAAGGTCTCCGGGCTTTGGTCATCAGCGTTGACGGCAAACTTATTTAAGGTGAAGGGCTTTCCGAGGGCTTTAAGACTAGAGAAGGCATTTCAAAAACTCAGGGATTGCAAAAGTCGAGCATCAACCCCTGTGTGTATTTCTGTGCCTGCAGGTCTAAAACCTGCACTAGCAGCACGTCCTCAAATACCCTACACACTAACCACTATGTCGTTTTGCTCTGAAACCCTGTCGTAACAAACTGTGAACGCCCCTTTGACACGGGCTTACTTGATAACGCCCGACCCAAACTTCCCGCAGGCCTCTCTCTCGGTCTACACACTCCCGTCCGCTCCCAAAAAGGAACCACGCACCAGAGTAGCTAGGCAGGGGTCGGGGCATGGAATGCGGACTGCAAGACCCCTAAACCCTAAGCCCTAAACCCTAATTAAACCCTAAACCCTAAACCCTAAATAAACCCTAAACCCTAAAACCCTAAACCCTGAACCCTAAACCCTAAACCATCCTAAGCCCTTTGAACCAGCCTCCTCTCGTGCTTCGAGGGCGTCTCTCTCGATGCGTCTGGTGATCTCGTGCCTTTGCGGAGCAGCTGCGCGGATTATGGTGGACACAGAAAATCTCGTTGTACCCCTAATCTTGCAGTTTAGGTTTACAGGCTTTAGGGTTTAGGGTCTAAGCTAAAGACCTGAACCGCCCAAAAGCGGGAATGGACGGGACACCTCTCTCCTGAAACCCCTGCTTACGCACATTCTCCCATGCGCTGACTATACAGTAGCGTGTGTCGAGATGGACGTGATGGGAAAGGTTTGGATTGGTCAAGACTGCAATAAGTTACGGAAACCACAGGGGCCTATGGCTCTCAAAAAGAAGCAAACCTAGCTGACTATGAGTCAACCAGGACTCTTACAGTGCTTCAAAGTTAAGCGCGAGCTCGGCTCAAACACCTGACGTCCCGTCATCTTTCCTGCAAGGGGTTTCGGGGACTTGTGGGTGTTAGGCACGTTTTCATTATCTGTTATGGTGCTAACCCGTTGCAAGTGGGGGGGCATCCTGAATTCTGCCTTCGGCAGAGGGTGCTTATCTAGGACTTCGGGCGCCTTCCTGGGGAGACCCTGAAACCGCCTCCTTGCAGCCCGCGTTACTTCATGGACTCACATTGCAGGCCCGAGATTTGCTCCTTGGAGCTGCGGGCGCCTTTCTGGCTTGGGAGTTCGCTGCCCATCATCTTTTCAGGGCTTGAGCCAGATGGCCTGTGAGTTCCCGGGCCGACTAGTTTGTGTCCTCTGACAGATCTTTCTGAGTGGGATTCTCGTTATTCTCGTTAACCCAACGAGGGAAAATATGAAATCGTCCAAGAGCCCACCGAGTCTCATCTGAACTATTGTGACCATTGCCATTGTTTCGATAACTCCTATCATAGCGGTTGTCGCGTCCCTACCATAGCAATTACTTTCTATTAGTCTGGCTATTCGTTGGTGTTCCGCCGTCGACAATTCATGGGCTGAGGGATGAATGTCCAAATGGCGTCAGCGTGTGTCTGATGCGCGTGCGTCTCTGCCTCGTCTCTACTCCCCTTAGCACTGTGATTAAGCTTAGGGTTTTCATGCTCCTGTCACCCTAAACCCTAAACCCTAATCGTGGGTGTCTACGTCGTGAAGAGACCATCAAATCAAAGCACTGCACATGAAGCCCCGCTGAACCTTGACTCAACGTAACCTGCCCCTGCACAACTCTTAGCCCTTAACCCTTTTGAGCGAGGTCTCCCTCTCAAGTGCCTCCAAGCCTGCCTCACCCTAAACCCTAAACCCTAAACCCTAAACCCTTTTGCAACAGGCTCCCTAGTCTCTATAAGCCGCAGCCCCAAGGCCGGCGCAACATTGACAAAGGGGCGCGATGACCCCGAGGAGCGCCTTTTGGGCTTCTCTCTTCTCTCCGATGGAGGTCGTACATAATCGAACTGGGTATTTTGGATTATCTACTATTATTTGTTGTTAATAGTATTCTTATTGTTATTGTTATTATCATTCTTATTCTTCTTATTATAGTTGATACTATGTCGGTTGTAGATATGTGACAAGACTAGCAACTATTTAGGGCTCCGGAAAGTTTGGGCTAGAAAGTCACTCCCACGGCTTCTTGGTGCAACGGCCACCTGGCCTTAGATATATAGGGCACGACGGGCTCAACGCTTGCATAACCAGTTCCAAAATGCCGCTCCTGCCTTGGTTCAGACTGCCGCAACTACTGTTGCTGATGCCGCGGCGCCTTTTCAGCAGAAGTTCCGCCAGCTCCGCTGCATTTGCCTGCAATGTCGGTGATATCTTCAGGTTACCAGGTTCGCGAAAGTTCCTGCAGCGCTTTCCGCGTACAGGGCCTCTACGGAATACCGATGCACATGAGTAGGCTGGGTTAAAAGAACGGGGACCCTTCGTGGTTTCATGGTGTATGAAACCTAACCCGTCAAAACAAAACAAAGATCGCGGTCTCAAAGCCCGGGAAAATGATTTAGATTTATGGGCCTTGTAATCTGGCACATGCACTTCACAGATCTTGCGGCCCCCCTGAACCTTGCTCGGTAGGTCCTAAACGTTAGACCATCTTGACTGACCCCTCTAGGGGCGAGGAGCGGGCAGATCTTTCCCGGGTCAAGTGCGAAAGCATCCATGAGGCACATGCAGGTTCGACCCACTCGGAACAAAACTAACCCAGCCCTGAAGCGTAACCTCTGAACCCTAAGGTCCTGCACCCTCCTACAGCCTTGAACCCAGACATGATACCATGCATGAATAGACAGGATTTCCGAACAAATCTTTGATATCTTTGCATTCTCGAGGTGTTTTTGATGAACGGGTCTATGTTCCGACACACACCTCGGAGTCATTCACGCCCGGCAGTAGGGTGTATGCCTTGGCACATGAAAAAAGACGGGGTGCCGGGCTTGATAGGAGTTAGGCTGAGTGAGGCTTCATCCATTGGGCAGAACAGGTCTGACATATTCAGCGTCCTTCAAATTCTGCCTGGCTTGGGCTGTTGTGGCGCCTCGGCTTACAAAAAACTCAACTTGAAGCTTCACGTGTAAGCAGAAAGTAGAGATGCAGGCTCTCTGTTCTTGTTAGTGGGGAAAAAGTGGTGCAGGGAACAACATGAGGGTATTTCCCGAAAAAGGGACCCCCAAAAAGGGTAACCCTCGACCCTAAACCCTAAACCCTAAACCCCATGAGGACTGGGCAAACATCGGCACGCGCCCCACGGCATCCTCATGGACCTGCACCTCACGGCTCTCAGGAGTTCAGAGCTGGGATGTTCTCCCCTTCTACTCACCAGCTAGGGTTTAGGGTTTAGGGTTTAGGGTTTAGGGTTTAGGGTTTAGGGTTTAGGGTTTAGAGTTCAGGTATGAGAATCCCTTGACAGTCCTTAATAGGAATTGTAAAGGGGGGGGGTTGCTATCATCCCTACTAAAGGACTGTTCGTGTAAGGGGGAACATCCCAAGTTCAGGGGGCTTCGGCCTGCGAGCCGCCGCTGTCCGATCAGCTCCCTAAGCTTTGTGTTCTGCTCTGCAAGGTCTCCGTCATAACGCCCGCCCCGTAGACCGATTTAGGATGTGGTCAGAAGGGAACATTTAGAAAAACTGACGTGCAGATGGCAGGATCTGGCGTTGAAGATTTAACATGAAGCTTGGATGCTAGGGTGACCTGGGTGAAGGCGGGGAAGGGTAGTGGAGTCAACATTTTAAGTCGAGATAGGTTAAGTTGCGCCGGCTTCGGGTCCATGCGAGGGTGTTCGATTTGATTCCCAGCGAGACCCTAGTAGAAACACAACCATCCATTCCCAGCTCAACAAGCAAAAACACACACACACACACACACACACAATCGATTCTCGAGGTGACCGGGCAGTCAAGTTTCGAAGCTGGGGTCTTAAGGGTACAAAGGGGTCCTGCGGTCCATGAGCCTGTCGTCTGAGGTGGCCGCTGCTTGCATGACGTCTGCGAGAGGCCAGCGCCTCGATGTCAGGAGCTGGTTTTAGGGTTTGGGGATTAGGGTTTTAGGGTCTGTTAGAGGGTTCTTAAGGGGGGGTTCACTGCGGGGTATGTAACCCAAGGTTCCCTATGCTCCCGAACACTCCCCCTTCCCTTAAGAACCCTGTAAGTCTAGTTCGGAATTCCTAAAAAATTTGGACATGGCAACGACGCTGGAATCGTCCCAGCCCCCCCACGCACCTAAGCCTCAAAAAACTGCAGACTCTAAAAAGCAGCTGCATCCTCACATAGCCCCTAGATATTTTTTGCACAATCGAAATGATTAAAGGCAGAAAATTAACCTGCCAATAACAGCCAAGGCCCACCGGCAGGATGGCATCGTCCACAGCTTGCGATCTTTCCCCTTATACTAACAGGCCTTAATAGGGATTATGGGTACCCCCTATTATCATCCTTATCGTCTACTAAGCGGCCTTAATAGGGATTATGGGTACCCTCCCCCCCCTAATTTTAATCGTTATCGTATAAGGGGGAACATCCCAATCCACAGCCCAAAGGCCCACACCGTGAACTGCTCGGCAGCAGTTGCGACCTCAACTCCTGCGTTGGCCTGAGAGCTGATGGAACCCGGAATTAGGGTTTAGGGCTTAAGCATAAAGAATTGGAAGGGGTTGATTTTATCATGGACTCCTTTTGGGTGCCTTAAAAACTATCAGGAAGAGAGTGTACAGTAGAGAACCACACCCCCCCCCCCCCCCCCCCCCCCCCCCCCCCAAAAAAAAAAACAAGACATCATTTCGATCAAGCCTCACTTACATGTATCGAGTCCGGGAAGGCTAAAGCAGCTTCGGGCTGATACAGAAAACACCTCCCAGAACCCGGGGCGCTGTGGGGTCTCCTGTGTTTTTAGCGCATCTTCCTTTTGGGGGGGCACGAGGGAGAGAAGTGCCTGCTCTCAACGGAATCATAGGAATGGTTCCATTCAGCATCTGGAGTTCTTTTTGCATGGTGTGGTTCCCTTGTGTGGTCGCCTTTTGAAACGGTTTAGGGTTTAGGGTTTGGGGTTTAGGGTTTAGGGGACCTTGACAGAAACATTGTACAGAAGCCGAACGCGTGCTCACTAAGTTGAAGCTACGCTCAAGCTCTCGTTAGGTGCCGAGCGCATGCAGAGACACGGCCAAGGCCACCTGTCCCAAATTCATAGGGCGATTGCTTGTGTTCAGGGACCGGGCCTGAGATCGACACGGTTCCCTTGAATTAGTGGTTTAGGGTTCTTTCGAAAAACAGGTCAGCCCTCTAGAGGCCAGAAGAAGCGTAAGCCTAAAGACCGCGAAAGCGAGGGACCCCCACTTGTGCTCCGATAGACTTACCAATGTACCGCGCCCAATTGGGGCTTGCTCAGGCCGGCCCTTTACATGTATACCACCATCGACCACAACGTACTACTATGGACGTGTGCCAGAATGTACTGCAGTGTACCATCATGTACTACTGTAATATACTGTAATATTATGAAATATACTGGAATATACTGTAAGGTGCTAGAATATGCTCTTGTTTCATGTTGCACAAATTATATCCGCCCCACCAAAACGGTCTGCCGGTGCTGGGGACTCGCCTGAGCCTAAACCTTCAAACCCCAAACCCAAAGCCTTAAAAGCCTGAAGCCCTCAACCCTAAACCCTAAAGCCCTAAACCCTAAGCCCTGAAACCTAAACCCTAAACCCTAAGCCCAAATCCGGCCCGTGAGCCCAGGACTTCTCTTCTCCGCCCGCAGTCCGAAACCCCCCCCCCCCCCCGCACGCCTCTGGGTGATCTTCAGCCAAGCTCACAATTCTGGGCCTTAGCACAACAAGACCCGGGAGGAGCCTAGGATTTTTTTGGGCACACCGGCACACCCTTTTTGCCTTCAAGGAGATTATCAGGGAACCCTAACCCGAAAAAAAAGGAACAAAGGGCCTACTCCCGGCCTTAGCACAAGCCCATAGCTTCGCAGCGCCCCAATAAACAATGCCCAGGTTCGGAGATGGGAAGTAGACCCTAAAACCTAGCGAAGCCCCAAAAGCCTAGGCCCTTAAAGCCCAAACCCCAAACCCTAAACCCTACCTAAACCTAACCCTAAACCCTCATGCAACCCTAAACCTAACGTGAGGGAGGGGTTCTTGCAAGAACGGTGCATGCAAAGATCGCCCCCAAGGGACTCCAGCGACTTGAGGTCTACCAGGCGATCTACGGGCCCAGGATGGTTTAAGGCTTCTTCTAGCTACAGGGTATAGGGTTTAGGGTTTAGGGTTGTTTTAGGGTTTGCTCGGTTTAGGTTATCTAGGGTTTAGGGTTTGGTTTTGGGATTTTTGTTAGGGTTTAGGGTTTGATGGTTTGGGTTTAGGGCTTTGGGGGCCGAATCAGCAGAGGACCAATACGTTTTTTTGGACTCCTGCCAGACCAGCCACACGGCAGGGCCACTTTGTCAACAATGTTTGCCGAGCTACATGGGCCTCGTCTCAAAGGCCTGACTGAGAAATGCCTGGAGGCCTGAAAGCCCAATCCCTGCACCCTAAACCCTAAAACCCCCTCGTTATCCCCCATCCCTAAACCCTACACCCTAAACCCCCTCATTTTTACCTGCCAATCGTCAACCTTGGTTGAGATGAGCTGGGTGCCACGCGCAACCCCCACAGTGCTCACAGTGAGAGCCTTCTCTCACTCTCACAGAAGCTTGTGTGTGTGCCGAGCGAAACACCATGACCCGCTGCCAAACACATCCTGGGACTGCAAACCCCTTCAACGACGTGCTTAGGGTTCTTCAGCGAAGTGCTGCCAACCCCTTTATGCCCCGGGAGCTTCCGACCGGCCACCAGCAACTTCCTTTCACGCGACACATGCCTGCAAACTTTTCGGAAGCAGCACTGTAGCAGCGACCCCAGGGTCGAAGTGAGCTTCCCTTCTAGACAGTAACAGTAATAATAATACTAATAATAATAATAGTAAGAATAGTCATAGTCATAATAATAATGGTAATAGTAATAACAGTAGTAATAATAATAGTAATAGTAGCCACAACAAAGTTCCTCCTAAACACATAGCATGATATTTGAAACAGCCCCCCCACATTTCAAGCCCGCATCCCTGCCGGATCCCGACTCTGCCCCATACGAGTAGGTACAGAAGGAGGACGTGAACCTTTTGAGACCTGTACTACAGGGTTCTAGAACAACTTTGAGGGTTTAGGGTTTAGGGTTTAGGGTTACTATACTTGGCTGCACTTAGGAGGGTAGTAAGAAAACAAAACTTTTAGCTGCCTTATTCAGAAACCCAATAAACCCAAAAAGGCAAAGGATCTAAAGTTACGGTAAAGCACCACAGAGTATAGGGTTTAGGGTTTAGGCTTACTATAGAGTGTAGCTGCGAAGGTTCGACCGCACGGCAATTCATCTGCAAGGTTCCCCCAGTCCTTGCCACTCTCCATCTCTGTACCCCATACGAGGTCCGCGCCCATCTGCGGCCGAGGGCTTCCTCCTGCATTTAGGGTTTAGGGTTTAGGGTCTAGGTTTTTTTTTAGGGTCTGGGGTTTAGGGTTTAGGGTTTTGGGTTTAGGATTTAGGGTTTAGGGTTTGGGGTTTAGGGTTTAGCTTGCAAGGCTGGGCTTGTATTTAGGCGGTTGTCTGGTCGAAGCTGAGCATCTGCATTGTAGAAAGCTGCCACGAGACAAGGCCCTTGAAGTGATTCATATCAGACAGTTGAGAAGCCATGAAGTACATCTTATCGGGCCTCCTGCTGCAGCAGTCGGATGGCTTGCGAAACTTCAGCATAGTTGAGAAGTGGCCTCGTGAAGCATGCGATGTGTCAGGTTCGCAAGGCCCTTCTCAATCTGCTGCACTGCCCCATAGGTGCAAATACTGCGCAAACCAATCCCCGTATTTGACTTGAAGGCTCCTTCCCTTCTTCTTCCGTGTAGGACCCAGCACTTCTATACTCTTCCTTATTAAGGGTAATGGGATTCTTATCTTATTCTTTTGGGGTTCTTAAGCAACTAGCAGAGCAAGACCTGTAAAAACTGCTTTGTTTGAGACACACCAACAACTTGTGCAGGGAAACCCATATTCCGGGCCCGCGCTCGCCCATGCCCATGAACACCACACGCTGCCTCAGCAATCAGAGCTAGGGTTGAGGGTTTAGGGTTTAGGGTTTAGGGTTTAGGGCTCTGCCTGTGCTACAGCATTCTGCATGTGTTCGGCAAATGGGAAACGTCCGCGCATCCAGCTGCCTTATTATGCCTAGTACGGCGCAAAGAGGTGAAGTCATGGAAACCCAACGGCATCAAAAACGCGTTTGTTATGATTGTTCAGAGGCGGTGGGAACATGCACAGGGCAAACCATGGCACTCCCTGAGCCGTCGGCACATTTGCTTGAACCACTGCGGCCACCTGCACACCATTTGTTGGAGGCTGAGTCCGTCCTTGCTGCATTAGGGAGTTAAGGTGTTGGGGCCTTGGTGCGTGGGGTTAGTTTGGGCCTTTGGCTGGAGCTCCTGGCGTGCATCCTCAGCTTTAGAACTGGTCAGATAGAATTTAGCAATTTGCCCCCGCCACCCGACCCCCCCACCCCCGCCCTCACAGCTCCGACCACCCTGCCCGAGCTTCACTCTGCCAGTAATGCACCCCGTTGCACGCCATCCTTTGGGCGGGTGGGAGGAACCCTCTCTGTCATGCCTGCTTGACTTTTTGGCAGCTCTCACTACCCTGCCCAAGCGTTACTTGGCAACAAGCACACGAACACCGACAAAAAATGCGACCAACATTTTGCACTGCCTGCTGACACTGCTAAGGAAAACAGGGTTTACATCCCGCGGCTTGGGCCGCGCAACTGTTTGCAACAATAATCATCTGGGCGGTCTCCTTGTCACGCCTTCACCGATTCCTCCAAGCGCACATCACCCAGCTCGGTACCCCCACTGGTTTCTCTCAGCACCACCATACACAAATCCATGTGCCATGATGTGCCTCTGATAAAGCTTCGTGCACTTCTCAATCCTGCAAGAAGCGAGCTCCGGAGCCCTTCCCTTCACAATTTCGAGCTCTGAAAGCCAGACCTCCTCATGTGGACAAGAAAGGAAGCCTGAACTCTTCAGCATCTCCATCCCTAACCCTAAACCCCAAACCCTAAACCCCCAAACAGTTTCCAGACCTGGGCGGCGATGGCCCAGGCCGGGAGATTGGCTGCAGGTTTGACCTCGCAGCCGGCTCCCTAAACCCTACCTTGCAGGTTCATGGGTAGTTATAAGTAGGTAAGTAGGGTTATAAGCATGGGAATTATTAGACTTAGGGTACCTGCAACCCTACTTTATAGCTACCCATGAAACTCCAAGTAGACCCTCTGAAGGTTTAGTTAGTTCTGGGCTGGTTGCACGAATATCTGCCTGATGCAGCATTGGTTAGCAATCACGATCTGGCTGCAAAGGAGGTACGCGGCACCGCTTTTGGCTTGGGTGCGCTTGCACGCTCTATCAGCCAGAAGTGGGCTTTGCTTTCGCACAGCGACGGTCTCCTGGGTCCTGCCACAATGTCGGTTTAGGGTTTAGGGTTTAGGGTTTAGCTCAGGCAAAATCATGTGTAGCGGCGAGGGCCATTCGTGCCTGTGAGTTCGCTGGTTTCTGCAGAATGCGGGGATTGTCGCTTGTGCTGTGGCTGTAATTAAAAGAAACTTGTAAAAATGGTGGTAAGAGCTTTGCAAAGCACCACCTAGCAGTCAGCACTGCTTCTTTGTGGCTTCGCCAAGAAGAAGTTTTGGCTGGCTACGGACAAAACTGCTCCCGCATCTCAAAGCTAACCCTACACACAGCCTAGTCAGGAAACCGCGGCTTTCTCAGCTGAAGGTCCCGTTACACAGCGGCTCAGCCGGCGTGCTTGTTCAGGTTCACGGCTCGCTTGTGGGCTGCCTCATACCTCGGATCGAGCTCGCAATACATTTCGCGCACCTTTGGGGGGGGGGGAGTCCTTGTAATGCCCAAGGTGCAGTAGCAGCTCCTCTGCCGCCAACTCCTTGATGACAGCGGTGTGGGTTTCCGGAATGACGCAGTCCTCATCAGTTTCAGCAATCGGTCATCGTGTGGCGATGACTAACGGACTCGAGGTCGGAAAAGGCCCTGACTCGACTTCAGATTCATCCCTTGCTGCACCTTCACCCCAACCCTCCCCAAATGCAGTAGCCTACATCCAGTGAGGCGCTCAACCGTAAACCCACAACCCAAAACCCCAGTAAGGTACCCATAACCACAATGGGCTATCATACCCTGTAGCCCCGTAAAAAGGCACCATATAGTGTTGATTGTGGGATTTATATCAGGCCTGATAACCCATCCTGGAAATGTCTGATGTCATGATGAGGCCCCAGCCTGGCTGTACTGGTTCTCGTTCAGCTTCAGCTTCTTCATCTGCCAGAAGACCTCTATACGGCCGGGCGGCACTTCCCACTGGCTCCGGCGTGCGTAGATGCGTAGACAGGCAGTGCTCCACAAACAAAAGAAGAGAGAGAGAGAGAGAGAGAGAGAGAGAGAGAGAGAGAGAGAGAGAGATAGAGAGAGACAGACAGCAGACACAGACAGACAGACAGACAGACAGACAGACAGAGGAACAGAAAGACAGACAGACAGGGACAGGCACGGACAAAGGCCGACGGACAGACGCTTGAAAGGTGCGAGATAGAATCTGGGAACACTACGACATTGCAATCAAATACGTTGTTCAACACAGAACCTCAAATCTCAAGGTGCAGACTAGGCTCAAAGCAGAAACTTAACAAAAGACTCTATACAGCCTGATTAATGTGCAAGCATGTCCCAAGTTAGAAGGACCTGCTTTCTCCAGTTTCCCGGGGGACCTAGTGAGCCAAACGTGGACTAGTCTTTTCTCAATTAGGGTTTAGGGTCTTAAGGGTGCTGTGCCCCAACAGTTAGGTTGCTTGCCCGACTGCAAAAAGGACACGGGCCCGTCAAGCTTTCTCATGCAAGTGGTGCCGTCCATGCAGGAGCACCGTTCAGGCGTTGGTCCAGGTCTGGCTCGTTTGGGCTGGCGAGGGCGGGCGGGGAGGGTCTTTGAGGGTGCACTGTACATCCCCCCCACACTTTCGGGCCTTCGGCGGGGCACACATTGCGTCTCCTTTCAGGAGGGTCTTCTCGCATGCCCAAAACTGGCCTGAGGCCGCAGCGAGCTTCGAGCAGAAAAACAAAGAAGCAGGGAAGAAGCCATCTCTCTGGCGCCGCTCTCCTAAGGGTCTGGTCTCAGCACCGGGGGTGGACTTAGAGAGAGGGGGAAGCCCAGGACAAGGTGCTCTCGAGCTCCTCCTTGACGGCGGCGGCGGCCTCCGGGCTGCCCCTCAGCTGAAGCTGGCCCTCGTAGTTGCTGAGGCCCTCGATGCCGGCCAGCAACTGGGTGGCGCTCTTCTGGGCGGCGATCTCCAGCTGGCCCAGGATCATGTCCAGGTAGCTGAGCTGGTAGAGCTCCAACGTCTTGTTCTGCCCGTCTCCCTGGGGGATGCGGGCCTCCTCCTTGTGGCCGACCCGCAGCCAGCAGTGCATCCACTTCTCCAAAAGGGCCGCCTGGGCCCTTGTCCGGGTGAGCATCACCACCGGAAGCCTGGTCAGCACGGCCTGGCGCGGACGGAGGTACAGGCGGACGTACCTATTCAGGCTGCGACGCAGCGGACAGGCCTTGAGGCGGACGGCATCCTTGACGTAGACCCGAAGACTGCTGCTGCCGAGTTTAATGAACCTGGAGGTACACAAGAGATGCACGACGCCGAGGCAGTCGTGGGCACTGGAGCAGCCGAGCTCCTCGGAGAGCGCCGCGTCCAAGCCAGCCATGCGCGCCTGGATCCCAGGCAGGTTGTAGGACCAGAAGCGGCCGAGCTGGCCCCAGAAGAGGTTCCAGACGTAGTGAGAGCGGCGCTCTTGCTTGGGCAGAGCCTCCCACCGGGCACGCAAGAGCGCCCGGTCCTCCAGGGGCTGCTGGTAGAAGCGAAGGTCGATGCAGTCGCCAGGGCACACGTCGTAGCTCCACGCAGGATTCAAGGCTGGCGGCAGCCGGAGCGCCAGGCCCTCCGGGTGTGCTTGAAGATTCATTTCCTCCAGCATCGTGCGCCACTGCATCACGCCCGTGGTCCACAGGCCCCTGAAGCCTCGCAGGTCCCTCCTGGAAGATGGCCGGTTCTGGCATGCCAGGGGGGAGCTCTTGCTCCGTGCTGCTGAGGTTCACGAGGACATACTCGCAGGAGCTGCTGGGTGGAAGCAACCCTGCGTCGATGCAGTTCAGCAAGAACCTGTGGACCGTGAAGACCTTCGACGACTTGCCCTGCACCTGCGCATTGTAGAGCTGCATGAAGGCTTCGATGCTCTGCTCCACAAATAAGTTGAGAGCCGCGCCCATGAAGCCGATGTGCTGCCCGTGGTAGGACAACTCCAAGATGTAGAAGGCGACGAGCTCCGCCGCGTGTATCTGCGGACACGAGTGCAACGGCCTGGCTATCGGATCATCCATCATCTCTACCGGCACGTCCTGCTCCGGATTCCCATAGACGTCCTCGGCACAGTCGGCTTCGTCCTCGGACTGCTGGCTACGGGGGCTGCCCTCCCGGATGCTCTCAAGGCTTTGCGCCAGGCAGGGCGTCGGCGTCGGCGACGGGTACTCCTTCACCCCCATGTGCTTGTGCAGCTTCCGGCGCAGTGTCCCTGTCCCCGGAGATGGCGTCAAGCTGGACTCCAGAGTGGCCCCTCTCCGCTTCCTTTCGGGCGTCACGAAGCTCTGCAAGGCCTCCTGCTGCTCCAAGGGCGGCTCCTGCTGAGAGAGAGGATCCAGGACTGTCGCGGCTGGAGAGGTCGCAGGAGTCGGGCTCCTCTGCACCTGTGTCGGGGAGAAGGCGTGCTCGTAAGGCCCCTGCACTGAGACCGCTGGCAGCCATGCCTCGCCTTGAGTCGGCACGTCCAGCGACACGGGATTCTCCTCTGGGTCCTGGTGCATGGCCACGGCCTGTTCCAGCTCTTAAGACAATTGGCATGCAGCCTCCAGGTCTGCCTGTGTCGCTGGCCCGGGTGTGCGGGCCCAGTCTGGCAGTTCGCTGCTCCCTCTGGCCGCCATGCTTTCAGACCCTCACTAGAGCTTTGAGGAGCAACAATGCCTCGGATGCAGAGGGCATGACAAGAGTAGAAGAAGAAGAGACAAGAAGAAGAGAAAGTGCCTGTGTTGTTTGAAGAGAATTCTTTTAACCATCTCTTTTGCTCTCTTCCTCCCTCTCCCGGAGCCTCTCTCGCTCTCGGCCCTTCTCCCCTAGGCCAACGAACCCCTGACCTGCTTGAACTGCGGGAAGTACTTCACGGCTGCTCCATACGTCTCCTGATCAAAGCATCACTGTACCCTAAACCCTAAACCCTAAACCCTAAACCCAAAATGGCTCCGGGGCGCAGGACTCGGGGCTGCCTTGTAGGCCCAATTCGTTCCCAACAACAGCACACTGTAAAGAAAGGGGACTGGGATCAACATGTTCGCGGCCGGAAACAGACGGACAAGCTTGGAAATGTTTGGGCATGAAGAACGGAAACATCCGGAAATGATGGAACATGAGGCGAATCGGGAAGAACACGGAAAATCCGGCAATGATATGAAAGACGGAGATATCCGGAAATGATGGGCGTGCGCCTACGATCGTGGTTGCGTGGTAAAGCACTGCAACTGGGCCTGTGAATCGGCCAGAAGGCTCATAGAGGTTCAACTACCGAAGGCTTTCTGCCCATTTCGGAGGTTCTCAGGATTTGCTGCCACAAACCCTGAACCCTAAACCCTAAGCCCTAAACCCTCACACTGCAACTCACCCTCTGCCGGGAAGTGTAAACCCTGGCCTCGCGCTGCGCCCACAGGCAGGCGGAGAAGCAGAGTTGACTGTAATTATGCTTCTTGTCCTAGGTTCCTATCAAAAACAGGGCTATAATATGTCGGATAGTTTGGGGTTCCCTTACCTACAACTTGAAGAATCAGGAGCCTACGAAGCGAGAACCATCGATGAAACCCCAAACCTTAAACCCTAAACCCTGAACCCTAAACCCCTCAAAAAGGCCCTTGAGTATGGATGACCAGATGCGGCTCCTGCTTGTCGACCAGGACTGGCACACATTCCGCGAGGTGCTCGAGGGTGGTGTTCCAGCTGAGCATGTGAGCCTACCAAGATGGACTATTGGGCCTTCTAATCCCCACAATCAACCCTCTAAAGGGCCTTTTTGAGGGGTTCGAGGGTCTTATCGCCCCTCCTGGTATCGTCATGCAGAACGACGCCCGCTTCCCACCATGGCTGCACGTACCGGTGCCCGTATTGTATTTTGGCGACCTGTAAGCATTCTTCAGTGACCTATTGTTCTTGACCCCTTGGCTGGATGGACCTGACACTTCTCCACCCCAAACAGCCGGCAGCATCCATACCATCTCATTCTCCAGTCCTACCGGTATCGCCCTAAACCCTAAACCCTAAACCCTAAACCCTAAACCCTAAACTCTAAACCCTAAACCCTAAACCCAGATTTCTGGCGGTCTTTGCCGATGTTGCGGGCCTTTCGCCCTCTCATCCAGCCGAATTTCCTGGAACCTGAGCTCCCCCAAAAATCCTCATAGAACCAACCAGTAGCTCCTGTAGTTTTTTAACCCGACAGCCCTGGATCCTAAACCCATCTTTGTGGAGGGGCGGCCCTCGACCCTGAACCCTCCGCCGCTGGCCAGGCCTTCTTGTCCTTGACGTCGGAAGGCTTGAGGCCGCAATGGCCAAGGCGGCGGAAAGGCCTTATAGGGCAACCAAGATGTTTAAGCCTCCCTTTCTATGAGAGGCTTTTCGAGTTTGCAGGCGTCTTGTATAGGGCTTTCTAGGCCTTGTAGGACTTCAAGGGTTTATTGCTGACGTCTCCAAGCTGTCCCTCCTACAGGGCTGCGAAGGATACCAGCAAATCAACCAGAAGCTCACCGCATGCGGGGACGAGCTCTAGGAAATGCTGCCCGAACCCGCCCCCCAAAAAAACATATTCGCGATTCTATGGCTCATGCCTCCTCGCAAGTTTGGGACACACCAGGTTGGAGTTCAGGCCTACGTCCGTGTCTCGCATTGCACGCATGAGCGGCCCGGAAGTGAGACGACATTGTATCGGCCACACATTGGCATCTGGCCAACCCTAAACCCGAAACCCTAAACCCTAAACCCTTCACCCTAAACCCTAAACCGAGACAGCTTGTGCTCATGTGCTGTGAGCCCTGACACCTTGGGATGTTCTCTCTTATGCTAGCAGTCCCCAATAGGGATTCTAGTACCTCCCTACTATCATCCCTCTTAAGGAGCTGTTAGTATAAGGCCCAGCCCTACACCCGAGCATGCAACGAAACAATGCATTCCCAGACTTGGGGTATCATCTAACCCTAAACCCTAAACCCTAAACCCTAAAACCCTCAACCCTAAACCTGAATCTCCAGAGCCGAGCAGCTCGTTCACGCAGCCGTAGTTCTGCAACAGCGACTTGAGCTTACTTGGCTCCAACTTCCCCATGCACGCCGGAGCAATCCTCGGAGTGGGGCCCTCCTAACCCCTACTTGGAGGTTCAGGGTACTTACTAGAACCCATATTACTAACTGTACTTATAAGCCAATTATAACCATGTTAGGGCACTTAAGGGGCATTTTAAGCGGGTGAGAAGTGCAGTGAGAAATGGTTAACAAGTACCATGAACCCCCAAGTAGACCGGGAACCCTTAGTGGCCCTCAGCATCTTGCGCGGCAGAGGCATGGTACCATCCTCGGTCTACCAGGGTTTTCGGGCAGTTCCGCGTACCTCCTCACTTCATGACGATGCCAAAAGAAGCGAAGACTGCAAGCAAGGTACCCCCCCCCCAACCAGCAAGCCACCTTCTACTCGCAACTCCACATACCCTCCAGTTTCACAAGCGCTCGAGAGTTCACATTGTCGTGAGATGCGCAGGAGAGCGCTGTATCACTCAGGCTGCGTTGCTCCCAGTCCCGATCGGCGCTGCTCCACTCACCAGCCAGTCGATCAGTCCACCGCGCCCACCTGGAATAGCATCCGCAACCTCCATGCAGTGGCCCAGACCTTCGGGGTAGAAGCACATGTCAAACTTCTCTCTTGCAGCCCACTCCTTCACTCGCCACATGGCGCTGCCCCCGGCATCCGTCTCCTCGTCCCCATGTATCAGCATAACAGGCACCCGGATGGCAGGTCGCGCAGACAGATTGCTGAGTTCCTTCACATAGGACTCGGGCATGTACCACTGCTCTATAGGCCTGCCCTCGAAGTTCCGAGCAAAGTTGTCAATGGCCGGTCCCAGCAACACCACTCTTGCCACGAGGTCGGGATACAGCTCCTGGAAGGTGGCTGCTAAGAAGCCACCCACGGAGAAGCCCACAATCGCCAGTTGCAACTTTCTTGTAGCGATGGACTGCGCCAGCACCCGCAACTCCTCCAAAAACCTTGGAAGGGAGGTCCTCTTCTCATCTCCACTTGGATGGTATGTGGGGGCATGGACCGTCAAGACGCCCTTTTTCCCAAGCTCCACCTTTAGGAATTCAACGAAAGCTTCCGTTTCTTGCGCGCCACCTAAACCCCAACCATGGAGGAAGATCACCTCCATTCAGTCACAGGTTCCAGCTCGAAGCTCTGTGGCTTCGTGGCTTGAGCCCAAAAGGAATAACTGAAAACCAGCCTACCATCTGAAACTGGCTTCTGTACATCTCGGAGAGATTCTAGGTTTCGGGTAGGGCGGAAGGTGTGCGAATGGCACTGGGCCGTCTGGGGCAGGGCTTGCAAGTCTAGCAAGACAGGATTTAAGTGCACTCCCGGCAGCTCTAAATCGACCCCCTTGATATGCAGACAGGAAAACTGAACCAGCTTGGCGGCCCGAACTCTGAAAAATCTAGTCCAAGCATCTTCTTCGTGTGCACCAGACGGTTCGTATAGCCTCGGTCTCTTTCTCATACTCTCTTCTTCTTCTGCTGGGCTTGAGGGTCTCTCTCTCTCTCTTTCTCTCCCTCCCCTGGCTTGTCTGCCTCTGTCTGCATGCCAGCAACAACGTGTAGCGACCCACCCGCATAACATCACGTACCTAGAGCTGCCTGCCTGCGCGGCATGCAAACACACGCGTGCCCAATCTCATGTATACAGGTGCATGCACTCACATGCACCGGCATGTTCTCAACGAAAGCATGTCGCTTGTTCCATCTGCGAAGCAGTGAATTCAGTGCTTCTCTCGATTCTGCCTACTGAAAGACTGGCTTTAAAATAGGCTCCCAAGAATGGCTTGGGGGGGGGGGGTCAAGCTGCGGCCAAAATATGTTGGAGCCGAGGCGCAGGATTGGATGCGAGCCAGCGGCTCACGAAAGCTGGTCAGGCAGGAGACCCTCTTCTCCTGGGCGAGTAAAACTGTAAAACACTCTGTCTTAAAACCAAGAAGTGAAAAGACGAAAAAAAAAACGGTTCAAAGTGCCTACCTAGTCTCTGGTAGACTCTCCATAAGCTCTCGCCAGCAGAACTGGCCTCCATAAACGGCGGCTTTGTCGTCCTTGTTCTTAAACTCCCTGCAAGAAACGCCGCCTGAGCACATGATGTGGGGCTTCAGGTTCATGTTCACGGACATGTTGTAGAGCAGCTTTCGCATGGTGGTGCCACCTGCCCTGTGCTGGTGCATGAAGACCAGAGGGGCATGCTCTGACACAGCCTCGTTCTTGGGCGGGGCCTTCTTGTTCAAGAACCTGTCGATCATCACAGTGGTGAAGTCCGAGTCACCTGCGCCCTGCGCTGACTTCCAGTCCTTCCCATGCGTGGACTTGCCGGCCCATTTGCCGGCCCACTTGCCAGCCTTCGGCGTAGACTTCTCTGCCTTCTCACTTGCGAACTTGCCAGATGCCTCCTTTCCCAGGGCGCTGCCAGAGCTTCCCTTCTTGTGGGCTTGCGCCCACGTGCCATGGCCAGCATGTCCCCCAGAAGATCCCCCAGACTTCCCAGCATGTCCCCCAGAAGATCCTCCAGACTTCCCAGCATGTCCCCCAGACTTCTTCTTTGCTCCAACTAGGACAGGAGCGTCGGAATACACACCGGCGGCGCTGGACTGCTTGACAGCCGGATCCTGCTCGGATTCCTCTGTTGTGGTTTCCTCCTCGGCAACAGGTTCCTCGTCAGCAGATTCCTCGTCAGCAGATTCCTCCGCTGCTGCTTCCTCCGCCGCCGGCTCCTCGGCAGGGGATTCCTCGGGAATGGGTGACTCTGACTCAAAGCCAGCTTCTGTCGGGGCGGAGCTGATGTCGTCACCAAAGTCACTGACTGGCTTCCGCCGGATGCCAACTTGCATTGCGCAGTGGCTCTCGTCATCTGCCTCTGCGACTGACTGCGTGAGGCAAGCAGCTGCCAGCGCAGCCAAGACCATGCCGGACCATCGCCCCATCATCCCAAGTGTGCTCCTGCTGATGCGCGATTGTAGACTCGGTTCGATTAGCCCTTGGGCCGAAAACTTGAGTTTCAAGCATGAATGCCTTGAAGCTGAATGAACAAACGGGTTCAGCACTGCGAAATTCAGCACTGCGCAACGCTTCACCGAAACTGTTAGGTTCCGACGCGGCCAGTGTCGCAGAAGCTGCAGTCTAGAGCGCAGCCAGCTTGCGAGGAGACCTGGGTGGAGTGCATCATCAGCTCGATTCAAGTCCGCTTCCCCATGTGAACTCCTCCAACCCCCCCCCCCCCCTTCACCCCTCTAAACCACAATCCCTAAACCCTAAACCCTAAGACTCAAATAGTAGGCTGGCTTGTAACATGCTCATCACTGCATCACAGGGTTGTGGAGCCCATGTCTCAGCTCTGCGCGCAAACGCTCACACCCTTGGCCTTTGCCTGCTCGTCTTCCTCAACGGATGCGGTCATATGGCTATTCCTCGATATGACGATTATAAGTATCATTAAATTAGTATTAGCATATTTATGAGTACTATGAGTATTAGGAATACTATGAATACTAAATTAGTAGTAATCGTATTAATCATAATAATAACTCATTGTTATTATTGTCATTATTGTGCTCATTGATATTATTTTCATTGTTGCTGTTATTGTCATTGTCTCTATGCAGTTCTCCAACCGGGAGGCAGCACTGCCGGCAGCACAGTAACAGCAGGCTTGGCGACTCTTTTCTCGGCTCAAACGACCCCATCTTGTTGCCAGCGATCATTGCAGGCAGGGCATTCGGCGAGGATGCACTTTCCTGGCTCGGACACAGTTTGGGGCGCACAAGCCTTGAACCAAACAAAGTCGACTGTGTGTGGTAGTCCGACCAATGTAGGGCCGGCGAAAACATTCAATGCCGACTCCAAGCCCATCTTAGTCTTGACAGTTGCCACGTATTCACCCATCCGAACCCCTAGAACGCCCTCAGCACAAAGCCAAAACCCACAACATCCGAAAGCCACAACCTACACAGTAACCTAACCCCCCCCCCCCCCCAAGCCCGCCCTGAAAAAAAAACTAACACAGCCTACACTTAACACGCCTGACTCCATCCTTGGGGGCTGCCTTGCCTGTGTCCTTCCTCATGTGCCCCATGTTGCCTGCAAGTGGGCTTCTGATGGCTTGGGTCAATACCGCGCGGCCCTCTGTGCGTCAGGTTTATGGTTTGGGAAGTCTGGGTTTGCCATGGTTTAGGGTTTAGGGTTTAGGGTTTAGGGTTTAGGGTTTAGGGTGTTACATCGTCTTACAAGATGCCCTGTGCCATCGAGCAGTTTGGGCTCAGGTTGCGGCGTCTTCCTCCGTCCTTCAGAAGCCCGGACCGCCCCCCCCACCCACAGCGCCTAAATGATTGCAATCGCTTTAGCTACGGATTTCCCTGAGCCTTCGTTAGCCTCATAAACCCTAAGCCCTAAGCCTTCAAACCCGACATCCCCCCCCCCCCCTCCCCCATATCCCCGAGGAACAAGACAAATCAGGTGGAGCCTCCAGCGCGGGGAAGCGCCCAGGAGTCCCTCCACAACCGGACTGGAGGGTCCACGAAAGGTTTAGGGTTTAGGGTTTCGAGTTCACAGGGGGGTTGGGTTGGGGTTTCTGCTTGAAAGTCTATATTGGGGACATTTGTTGTGACTTGCGGTGGGGGCGGGGGGGGCTGCTTGGAAATTGTGCTTCGGGTATCGAAGGCTCGGGGCGATGGGCTTATTGCCGATGTGCACAGAACGTGTAGGGTCTGCGGCGAAGGTACCCTGTACCTGCTTGAGGCTTGCAGCAGCTACAGCAATCTAGACACGGAGCCCAAACCCTCCCTAAAGCCGTTTACAGCTCGGGCAGCCTTGATTCAACCCTCAATCCAAAATTCGAAGAAACTGGACCTAAACCCCAAACCCTAAACCTTAAACCCCTAAACCCTAAACCCTAAACATTAAACCCGCCAAACCCTAAACCCAAAACCCTAAACCCCGTGCATATTGCGATACATGGGCTGCAGCTTCACAGCATGAACCCAGTTAGGTCCAAACTCAGTCAGTTATTAAAGACCAGTCAACAAGCCAAGCGTCCGGACAAAGACCCCCTAAACCCTAAACCCTAAACCCTAAACGATGATCGTTACAATTTCGGAAGCCATGGGTCCGCCCCCGACCCAGTCCCCCCCACCCCTCCCCCGTATCCTATGAGAACAAGGGATCCCCCGTTTTCGCTTGGTAAGGGATCCTGTAAGCCTAAGAGGGAAGGAGGGTTCCTGCCTTAAGACAGCATAACGCGCGCCGCTATTGCCACACCTGCGTCGTGGCAGCGCGTTGTTGGTAGATTGTGTGAGGTGTGTGGTGGTCTGCGTTGGGGTGGTGTGCAGGGTTTGGGTGAACTCCTCTGAGAACTGACGGATTGACTCACTTCCGACGTCAAAGGTACACACCACGATAGATTGCAGCTGTTCACGTTCTTTGCCACAGGCCTTGGCATCTCTGTTGGGAGGGTTGAACCGAATGGAATGGAAACCCAAACGGTGCACACCCTAAACCAACCAAAGGCCGTACATTACGGTGCACACCCTAAACCCTAAACCCTAAACCCTAAACCCGAAACCCTAAACCCTAAACCCTAAACCCTAAACCCTAAACCCTAAACCCTAAACCCTAAACCCTATCCAATACGCGGCCTTGCTGACAAGGAACCTGGGACAGGAGAGCCGAGCATCAAAGAAGTCCAGCGACTGCTCCTGCAAGTTCCAGGGCTTCCGCACTTCACGGTCTATCTCTCATTACCTAGTTGCTGAGCCCTCTGGGCCAAAAGAAGGTTAAGCTTTCAAGTATGGTAGGAATAGATATATATATATATATATACCCCAAAAGGTTACCAAGTCCTAGTCACAGCTGAACCACTGGCCGAGGAGGATGCTGTGTGAGGCTGAGAGCTTTTCGACGGAACTATTGATATCAACGGCCCCACACATACATGGCTCGTAGGTGCTCCAGTGCTCTGCCTCGAGATATAAACTTGTTATGCACCCCGCCGCGGAAAACCGGCTTTTGGGGACAACGCACGCATCCATCGCACAATGGTGTCATACCGAATTACATGCATAATTTGCGGGGTGTGTGTGTACCTTTACGTACACTTGCGCATGCACATACATATACATATACC